CCTGTGTTAGCCTTCACATTTTGATTTAGCAGTTTACATTTCTGAATGTATTAAGGCCGGTAGCCATGAGTTTATTAAGAACATTTCTAATTGGGAACAGTCACACCTGAGCGCGCTCAGCTGTGCTTTGGCCGTGCTCAGTGCCGTCCGTGTTCATCAGCAGTCAGCACTTTCCACTGGACACTCCTGCCCTGGCCCTGGGTGGCTCTGGGAGTGAGAAGGCAGCGTCTGGCTAGTGTGGAATGGCCAGAACAGCAGACTGAAGGGTGCAGGCTCCAACCTCCTCTGCCAGAGGCGGGGCAACTGGTCCTGGCGGGCTGTCCACTGAGTTTATCTCCTCTAGTACTTCCTGCTGAGAGCAATTAGGTTTCTTATTTAATAATAAGTCCTTGTGTTTAGATTGAGTCTTTTCTCTAAGGATCATAAAGTTGCTCCCAAACATTAGCTCATTGGTTCTTCTCAATACAATTGCCTGATGAAGGAGGTGCTAATTATTCCCAATATAAAGACTAAACTACCAAGGCTCATCACTGCTCCTTCTGCAACCAAACACCGAGGCCCAGATAGTGTCTGTTAAACAGAAGAGCATCAGATTAAGGTCACCTGACTCCTTGTCCTCCCCGCACTGGACTGAGGACCGAGGAGAGATAAACTGTGGGGGTGTCATGAACCTGGCATCGGTCGCGTAAGGAGGTGAGGGCACGACCTGGATTGATCTGGGCCAGCTGCATCTGCCTGTCTGGAGTCGTGTCCTCTCCTCCTTACAGTGCTTGTCACAGTCTGTACTGAGTAATACTAAGTTGACAACCAGTAGAAACCGTATGCTAGTCGGCCCTCCATGGTGAAGTCACCTGGGAAATAGTCCTGGAATTTAAGAGATGGTTGGAGCTCTTTCTGCAGTTAGCGTCTGCTCTCTTGTTTGATGCAGCTCGAGAATGGTATTTTTTCCTTTCCTCTTTTGGGTTGGTTGTTTGTTCGTTTGTTTTTGAGACCGTCTTGCTGAGTAGCCAGGCTGGCCTGGAATTCAGAACCCTCCTGCTGCCCTGGTACTTGCATTACTGACGTGAGCTACCACACCAATTTTTTTTTCTGCTATATTAACTCTTATCTATTTAATTTAAAGTATTCCATCACACAGATCCAATCCATTAAAACTAATAGGTCAGTTGCTATTAATATGAATCATTAGAAATAGATTTTAAGAAAACTAAATGATTTATAATGCTGACTGGACTTCCTCTGGACAAACCCATTCTTACATGATTTCTGGGTTGCTCTGTGAAACCATAGAAATAAAGATGGCAACTTGGTACAGGAGCCTGGCAGTGTGTGGGTCCTCTGAGTGGGCAGCACCCAGTTGTAGCTTCCCTGGCCTCAGTGAGTTCCTTACGCCTGTGTCGGTGCTGATGGAGTAATATCCTCTTGGCAGGGCATCCGCTCTTAACTTTCCCAGCTTCTGTTTCTTCATTGATTCGTGTTTGCTAAGAGTCCTGTGATACAGTCTGTGGCCTGATTCCCAGTTGCCCCCAGTGAGTGCATCAAAGTTCCTGAGCAAAATGTATTTGCATTTTGCTACCAGGAGGCTGTGCTGTAAACAATGGAGTTGAGACATCGGCATGAGCCGGGGGTGAAATTTTATTTTAAAATCTGAAATGCTGTGTAAGCTTTTAAGGTATGTATCAGTAATCGTTTCCCAACAGCTCCCATTAGCCATGCTTTATTTGCAGTCCATCTCTTTCCAGGGCCCCAGGGGAGTCAGCATACTCAAGCACACTGCACATCGTTTGCATTTTAAGCCAGTGTTCAAGGGAAGTGGCCACAACTTTGAAAAGTTCTTAGTACTGGCGTGGACTTTATGTCCGTGTTCCTCCATGAAACACACTTTTAATGTTTCCTTGGAAGAAAAGAAAAGAAAAGAAACCTTCCCAGTGTGTTGAAGATCTGATACTTCTGAACCAGAGAAATACGGAAGGAAAGAGAAAGGGGGAACGTGTGTTTCTAAGATGGAGAACGTTCTTTTCCCCTGGTGGACTCAGTAAAATGCAAACTTAAAAAATCATCTGTCTAATTGGAGATTCAAGATCCTCAAATTCTGTCTAAATATTTTGTTTTAACTTCTAAGCTCATTATGGCCCCTTTGTGCTCCCGCGTATTACAATCCGTCAGCTCTGACTGGTCTCATAAGCACGGTCAGCAGAGCAGAATAAGTTAATTATTTACTTGTGGTACTAGTGCTCCCGTCTAATGAAACGCACAGCTGTGTTGGATCTGCAGTTGGATGTGTGGCTCCCATTGTTCTGCGAGTCAGCAGAGGGTAGAAGCCGCCGTGATGGAGAGCCCTCGCCTCTCTCCGCTGTTCTGGCTTTCTGTGTCGATTTCATGGGTCTTTTATCATTCACTTTCACACAAAACAAACAACACAGGCTGTCTGCTATGGGAACCGTCTTGGCATATAAAAGGGTTTCAGGGGCTCGAGTAATTTTAAGTTAGCGAAGATTTAATTTTTGGCTTACAGGTGCCCGTGGTTCAGATACAGCCAGAGCAGATCTGCTACAGGATGAAGTGAAAAAAAGCTACTCATGTGTGCTTTCTTCCACAAGTGTCAGGAAATGGCAGATAAGGAAAGAATGTCCCAAAAGGACGTTCTGCAGTGAAGATTAATCAGGCTTGCAGGGAAATTATTAGATTCTGGTTTTAGGAATGAGCATTTCATCTTCTAGCATAATGAGGTTGATTGAACTGGCTCAGTTAAACACGTCAACTAAAACCAAAGATAAAGTGCAAGTCTTCTCCCTTCCTACCCTCCCAAGTCCCAGCCTGCCTGTCACACTGCTTCAGTCTGTTCTGGACCACCTGTCCCTCCCTCCCACCTTCTCCTGGTGCTTTGGAGGTGGACGGCAGGTGGCTTCTCCCAAGCCGACCCCAGCATCCCTGTGAGTTCTGGCTGAAAGGGTCCTGCATTTTTCCTTTGGATTTGTGTTGGAGGGTATCACTGGACACTGACTCTCAGCAGCATTCCTGCCCTTGTAGGAATTTTCGTGCTCAACACTTGGCTCGTGGCTTCACGGTGGTGTTGTCAGGGTGCCTAGTTCACAATCCGTTGTCCTTCAAAGGAGATTTTCCAGTAGCTCTAGGGTTTTGTCAGATAATTTCAGTATGGAGATGTGTTTTAGGAGAGAAGGAAAAAGTCACGTACTTTGCTTGACATAAATTTTAGCACATAGCTGGGTTTGAACTACAGCATACCAAATAACAGTTGGTGTTACTCATACAGAAAAGCATTCATGATATGATAAAACCTTCTCAACCAAGATAGCTCTCAAAGGGGCTGTATGTTCTAGAATCTGACTCCACAAGCCTAATTGCAGTCTTGCTGGCAGCCCCTCGAAAGCAGAGTGTCAACACAATTCTAGATACAGGAGGATTCCTCTCCTCCGAACTTCTGCTCTTCATAGTGCACAGCTCATAAAGGTTTTGTTTTAAAGTAGTTTGGGGTTCTGGGGCTGCAGCTCGGTGCTTACTTATCATGTCTTAGGTTTTAGCCCTGACAGTGCAATAATAATAAAATTAAAAAAAAAATAAGTGGCTTGAGTTATATAGAGTACAAACTAGAGTGGAAAACTTAGGTTTTTGTCAGTAGGTCCTGACATTGGAGAAAGGAGGTCTGTCTTATTACTACAGTCAGGAGTTTTTGTTTCCTTATTCACTGCTGTTGTATACAACTCTTCCAGCCCTTTTTTTTTTTTTTAACTTTTTTATGTTCACTGGTATTTTGCCTCCATGTATGTCTGTGTACAGACAGATGTGAGCTGCCATGTGGGTGTTGGGAACTGAACCCAGGTCCTCTGGAAGAGCAGTCAGTGCTCTTAACTGCTGAGCCATCTCTGCAACCCCCAGGTCTTGTAGTTCTTATAGAAAGTGTGATTGAGCACCTAAATTCTGTCCCTACTCATCGTCCCAGGAAAAGCAAATCAGAAGGATTAAAAAAACTGTTTAGCAGCAAAATCTCTCCAAGGTTAGAAGCTGCCAAGGAATACTCGGGTCTGCATCCTTGAGAGACTGTCAGTGGAGTGCAGAGCTGGTGGGCTGCCATGTGTGCTCTGCTTTCATTCTTAGAATTCCGTGTCTAATTCTAGCCTTTTGCTCTGAGAATGATTTGGCTCTTACTTTTCTTGTTGGTCTTTACAAGTTCAATCAAAGATCACTTTTCTAATGTGCTGTAAGCTATAGGAATTAAAATTCCTTAAGGCAGGTTAAGCTTAGCCAGGGAAGCTCTGGCAAGGTGGGCCAGCCAGCCAGCTCTGCAGCCAGAGTGCACCTGTTAGCATTTCAGCCGTGCACATGGATTTCTTTTCTTTTCAATGGTTTGTTTTTATTGTGTGTGCATTTGGTATTTGCCTGCATGTATGGGTGTCAGAGTCCCCCGAACTGGAGTTACAGACAGTTGTGAGCTGCCATACAGATGCTGGGGAGAGCAGCTAGGGCTCTTCATCACTGAGCCATCTCTCCAGCCCCAGCACAAGGATTTCTGGTCATAGGTTTTTAATACCAGTTTACATATTCAGTCTTATTCAGCCATTCTTTGTTTGGTGGTCAGAGAATTTGGATTCCTGTGGTTTGGGTGTAGAACCAGCAGACCACAGCCTAGCTGACAAGGAGCAGAGACTGCTCATTGCTAAGCTTCCAGGTACGAGCAGGCCTGAGGCTGTACTTCGGTTTTCGTGGTCCTCAGGGAAGGTGGGCAGGCAGCCTGACAGCACCATTGTGTGTCCTGCCAGCAGGCCAGTCCACAGGCTACAATGCTTTTCTGCAAGGAGAGTCATCTTTGAACTGCTTGGCTACCAGGGTTGTTGGAAATTGCTTTTGTTACTCTTAGTGGAGACAGTGGGGAGGGTTTATAAGAGTGGGGATGGAGATAGCAGCGGGAAGATCCCAATTAAGGACTCTATTCTTCCCTCCTGCCCGTTTGCCTCACGTGCTATAAAACCTTCTGTCCCCAGGTGTTTGTGGCCTGATCGTCCCCCAGGAGGACATGCCGTTCTGCGACTCTGGTATCTGTCCCGACATCATAATGAACCCGCACGGCTTCCCATCGAGAATGACGGTCAGTTACCTGTGGACTTTTCAGAAGTGTGCTCTGAAGGAAGGAAGCAGGCTGTTAGTTTAGTTACAGTGAGCAGTCCCCTGACAGATAGATGGACTCCTAGTCCCTCTTACTCTCCTCTGCGGCCCTGCACAACACTGTGTGTAAGCATGCTGGATGCCTCTTTGAGCAGTCACTTCCTGTCATCTGTAGTTCTGTCACAGGTCACGTGTCCTCAGCCACAGTGCTTAGCTCATGCTTGAGTTTCCTTATCTGAAAACTAGGGAAAACCATAGGGATGTTAGTCACCTAGGCCAGGGTTCCTCAGCAAGGTACCAGTGAATGCCGGTATTAGTAATGTATCACTCTTGGTAACTGTGGGGCTTGAAGCTACCTGTAAGCCAAAGCTAAGTAGGTCAGGAGAACCCCACGCCACAGGGAGACACTCACAGTTTGTTCCCCCCCCCACCCCACAGGTCGGAAAGCTAATTGAGTTGCTGGCTGGCAAGGCAGGTGTGTTAGACGGCAGGTTCCACTACGGCACGGCCTTTGGAGGGAGTAAAGTAAAGGACGTGTGTGAGGACCTCGTTCGCCATGGCTATAACTACCTGGGGAAGGACTATGTCACCTCAGGCATCACAGGGTGAGTGTACATCCATCACTAGAAAGAGAGGAGGCCGGAAAAGTGTACTGTAAGGTGTGAAATTCCAGGACTCCCTAGTCTGGAGCAATGAAGCTTCACTGTTTAGGAAACCTGCCTGGTACAAGAAAAGGTGTAAGGAACGGGTCGTTGTGCTGGGCATGGTGGCGCACACCTTTAATCCCAGCACTCGGGAGGCAGAGGCAGGCGGGTCTCTGAGTTTGAGGCCAGCCTGGTCTACAGAGCGAGATCCAGGACATCCAGGGCTACACAGAGAAACCCCGACTCGACAAAAGGAAAGGAAAGCAAAGGTCATTGAGGACGACTTGTGTCGGTAAGACGGTCACTCTGTTCAACCAGGCCGGGTTTCTGTGCTGCTCCTGTGGAGCGCATTGACGGCAGAGGATGCGGGCTTGTCCCCCAGCCTGGGGCCAGTACTCACACCAGTACGGTTGTGTTAAACACCTACTGTGTGCCAGGCTTTGACGGGATCGAAGTCAGTTAAGCCACGAAGCTGACCATATGGGTCGTTATTAGACATGGATCAGTGGCAGGCCTCAGTGACTGCCTGGTGGAGGCAGGCTGTTTGGTTGTTTACACAGATTAATTATCTACTTTGCTTTTTGGCTTTGAGGATTTTGGTTTTGTTCTGTGGTACTGAACATTGAACCCCGAGCCTCGTGCATGGTTACCAAGCACTCCATGCCTGGGTCTCTCACCCTCTGCCCACTGATTACCCAGTGAAAACCCAACCTAGTACTGCCATTTCCTGCCTCACTGCTCTCCAGTCATCACTACCGGACATGTCCATGGTGCTGTTGTCTGTCACCCGGCTGGGACACCATGGCAGTCATCACTACCGGACATGTCCATGGTGCTGTTGTCTGTCACCCGGCTGGGACACCATGGCAGTCATCACTACCGGACATGTCCATGGTGCTGTTGTCTGTCACCCGGCTGGGACACCATGGCAGTCATCACTACCGGACATGTCCATGGTGCTGTTGTCTGTCACCCGGCTGGGACACCGTGGCAGTCATCACTACCGGACATGTCCATGGTGCTGTTGTCTGTCACCCGGCTGGGACACCATGGCAGTCATCACTACCGGACATGTCCATGGTGCTGTTGTCCTTCACCCGGCCGGGACACCATGGCAGTCATCACTACCGGACATGTCCATGGTGCTGTTGTCCTTCACCCGGCCGGGACACCATGGCAGTCATCACTACCGGACATGTCCATGGTGCTGTTGTCTGTCACCCGGCCGGGACACCATGGCAGTCATCACTACCGGACATGTCCATGGTGCTGTTGTCCTTCACCCGGCCGGGACACCATGGCAGTCATCACTACCGGACATGTCCATGGTGCTGTTGTCTGTCACCCGGCTGGGACACCGTGGCAGTCATCACTACCGGACATGTCCATGGTGCTGTTGTCCTTCACCCAGCTGGGAGAGCAGGCTGGCTCTGCTACTGTGTCTCCAGAACCTAGCACAGGTGCTCCAGCAATGCCTGCTGGGTGGGAAAATGCTGACAAGAAGAACTCGCTCTCAGCACGTGAAGACAAGGGAACAGTGAGAGGGTGGGTAAGATGTGGAGGGACGGAAGCTGTCCTGCTGTTTAGAGAACATGGTACAAGGAAAGTACACTTGTGAGTAAATCCCGAGAACTGGTAGGTGCCAGCCCAGCTGATAGTCCGTCCATAAAGAGGCAGCTGTCCAGCTGAGGTGAGGCTGGGTGGCAGAAAAAACCCTAGGCCAGGGGCCCCAGGGATGATTCGGCAGTAGACAGTACTAGCTGCTGCTCCACAGGACCCAAGTGTGAGACCCGAGGGCTTCTAAACCATTGCACGTGACTCCTGCAGGGACACACAGTGAGCGAGCGAGTGAGTGAGTGAGTGAGTGAGTGAGTGAGTCTCTGTAGTGACCTCTGGGTCGTGCACTCCTGCAGGGACACACAGTGAGTGAGTGAGTGAGTGAGTGAGTGAGTGAGTGAGCGAGTGAGTGAGTGAGTGAGTCTCTGTAGTGACCTCTGGGTCATGCACTCCTGCAGGGACACACAGTGAGCGAGCGAGTGAGTGAGTGAGCGAGTGAGTGAGTGAGTGAGTGAGTGAGCGAGTGAGCGAGTGAGTGAGTCTCTGTAGTGACCTCTGGGTCGTGCACTCCTGCAGGGACACACAGTGAGCGAGCGAGCGAGTGAGTGAGTGAGTGAGTCTCTGTAGTGACCTCTGGGTCGTGCACTCCTGCAGGGACACAGAGTGAGTGAGTGAGTGAGTGAGTGAGTGAGTGAGTGAGTCTCTGTAGTGACCTCTGGGTCGTGCACTCCTGCAGGGACACACAGTGAGCGAGTGAGTGAGTGAGTGAGTGAGTCAGGGAGTCTCTGTAGCTACCCTTGGGTTGTAACCCACCTGAACACGGGTGCAGCTCAGCTGAAGCATGCGTGAGGGAGAGCATGCTGCTTAACTGCAATGCTCAAAAAACACTCCAGAAGTGATGGAAGTGCCCCAATCCATTTCTGCTGCAGATACAGAGTGCTTTTTAAAATGACTTGTCCAGATGGTAACAATACAGATTTCTTTTGGTAAATCATTCTTGAGATGTTAGAAAAACAAAATCTCATTTTAGAAAAAATTTAACAGTTTGCTTCACTTAACTATGGTTTAAATAGTTAGGGATCCATTTCAAAAAACACAATCATTGCTAAACCTATCACCTTCATTTCTACTCAGAAATAATATTGTCCAGAGATTGTACAAAACCATAGGACCCATTCCGTGCAGCTTCCTAAATATAACTGCACTGAAAGGTTGGCGTAAGCTACAGCTGTGTGCTGTGGACGGCTGTAGTCTACATGCTTCCCTTGACACCACGTGGACTTTTCATTTCCTTGCTGTTCCCCTCTGTGCCAGAGCTTGAGGAGCACTGTTGGACCTGTTCAGATCCTCCCAGGACCAGCAAATGTCCTCCCAGCTCTCACCCATGGTCCTGATCTTAGCTAGAAGTAGGAATTGCATGTGACTTTACTCTGTTGATGTGGACTAGCACTGGGTAACAGATGTCCATACATTCTACCGTGAGTTATTGCTGAGAACTGGAGTCATTTACTAGAACTGGAAAGACCCTTGGCTGACCACCTTGATACAAGGAAACTCAATTGGAAAGGTTGTGGGGCGTCTATGAGAGACTGGAACAAGAGCAGGGTCTCGCAAAGCCCTTGCTCCCGTGCCTTCCTCTCCACTGTGACTTCCTGGGGTCCCATTGTGCTGAAACTCATGGAGTGGCCCAGTAACTTCAGTAGCCTTTGCTCGTACACTGGCACTTTGGAATTGGACCAGGCAATCTGGGCCAAAGTCGGCAGCTGCTTTTCTGTAGTGTGTGGCTTCCTTTGCTCTTCCCACTTGACAGCATGCTTTGCTCAGAGTAAACTTGTTTTTCAGATAGGCCGCTGTGACAGACAGGCAGAGAGAGCACCGGGTTTGAGTTCTGGTCACAACACTCTCTAGTTCTTACCTAACCTCCTCAGGCTCACTGGGCCTGCTTCTGCATCTTCAAAAATGAGACAGTGCTCCCAGCCTGGTATGTTGATGGACTAAAAAGTACTGGAGAGTACTTGCTTCCCTTTGAGGAAGTACACTTGAAGAAGGCAAAAGATTTTTGAAGGCTTTTTAGAAGGCTTTCATTTCCTGGCTGTTTGCTTCAGATAAGACTTTTTCCCCTGTCAGAGCACTTACATACTTACTTCCTTTTGAGATTCTTTCTATAGTTATTCACTAATGGAGTAAGTTATGTACAGACATTTATTGAGTAAGGGAGGAGGGCTCCTCTCAGAAGGTTCACACCTGGAATCCCAGCACAGAGGAGGGGCGCCAAAAGAGTGTGACACCAGCCTAGGCTAAGTAGCAAGTCCAGGGCCGCGTAAGCCATGTGGTGAGACCTTGTCTCAAAACAAAAAGAAAGAAAAGATGTTCCAGAAGGTTCCTCTAAGGAATCACTGTTGACAGGCACATGCATATACCTGGCAGCAGACCATTGCTAGCACACGTTGAGGGCGGTGGTCTGAGGCCGAAGGGTTAGTATGTTTGCCATGATAGCCATGTACAATTTTGGCAACATGGAATATCAGAAAAGAAAGCATTGGGAATTTTAAAGCAGAATGACCTGCTGTGATTTCCACTTTAGGAGGACACTCCCTGGATTGTTCTGGTAGACCGGTTGTCTAGGGATGAGAGTAGAAGCAAGATCAGCCAGGAACTAACACACCAAGAAACGATGTCCTGAAGAAACAGGTGGTGATGAAGAGGGCCATCCTGTTGACAGCTCATTTCATGTGAGGGCATTATCTGCTCACACAGTGCTAGTGCGTCTGTGGGTTTGGTCTAGCCTTTTCATCCACTCTAGACTGAGGGTCAGCCTCACAGTTGTCCTAAGTCTCTGAGAAAAGAGTAAGGACCTCCTGGTGCTGAGGCATGAGAAGGCTGTCTGTTGGGTTATCCAGACTGTTTCTTAACCCCCAGTGCTGACTTCCTTTCAGTGAGCCCTTAGAAGCGTACATCTACTTTGGACCCGTGTACTATCAGAAGCTGAAGCACATGGTGCTGGATAAGATGCACGCCCGGGCCCGAGGACCACGCGCCGTGCTCACCAGGTAAGAGAAGCCCTGGGGAACAGAAGCCGATGCTGTAGTCAAGTCGTTATACACTTGTCTGTGGGAGAAACAGTCCCAGCAAAACTCCTGTTTCCCTTAAGATATCCACATGTGGGTGTATTAGACACATTGTCTTAGTCCCTTTCTATTGCAGTGATTAAAAACACCATGACCAAAGGCAACCTGAGGAGGAGAGAATTCTCCTGACTCTTGGGCAGCACTTCATCACTGACAGGAGCCCGGACAGGAATTCAAGGCAGGAACTGAAGCCGAGACCGTAGAGCTGCTTACTATCTTGCTCCTCATGGCTTGCTCAGCCTGATCTCTTGCACCACTCAGGACTACCTGCCTAGGAACGGCACCACCCACAGTGAGCAGGGCCCTCCCACATCATTCATTAATCAAGAAAATGTCCAACAAGCTTGCCTACAGGCCAGTCTTAAGGAGGCATTTTCTCAATTGAGGTCTTTCCTCTCAGAAGACTGTAGCATATGTCATGTTGAAAAAAAACAAACAAAAAGTAGCCAGCACAATTGATCCCTTGTGAACTTCAACTATAACTTTTCCTTTCTCATCTGTCCCAAGGATGTCATATTAATATTAATATCACAATATAAAACATCCCAACTTTTAAAAGTTCCATGGTCTTTAAAAATTCAGTTTCTTTAAAATTCCAAAGTCTCCCAGCTGTAAGCTCCTGTAAAACCTAAAAGAAGGTAAACACTTTGTTACTCCAGAAGGGAAGATCGGCAGAGCCACAGGCCAGTCAGCTCAGAGCATGTTGTCAGCATTGTGGTGAACAGCCTTCTCTAGATGTAGGTCTGTTTCCATAGGTTCAACATGCAGAGAAAAGATATTGGGGAAATAAAATTGCATCACAGGGCAGTGAGATGCTCCATGGGTAAGGCTGCCTCCAGATCCTACCTCCCGGAAGTCCTCGTCCCGGATGATAGTCCCTGCTTCACAGAGTGATAGTGCTACGGACCGACTCCCAGGCACATGACAGATGTTTGATGGCTGTCTGGGCCCCTTATTTCACTGATGATGCTGGATAAACGGGAGGAAAACGGGGCAGCCACCATTTGGCTTTGCTTTTTGAAAGCCAAACTCAATCTTGAGCATAACTTGAGCAGATGCAGTGCCTGTTAAAATCATAGATGTGTGTGTGTGCTTCAAAATGCTGGAAAGGGTCTAGAGAGATGGCTCAGTGGTCAAGAGCACTTGTTACTTTTGTAGAGGACCTGGATTCAATTCCCAGCACTCACATGGTAGTTCACAACCATCCATACTCCAGTTCTAGGGGATCCCATACCCTTTTTTGATCTCTGAAGGCACCAGGCACACACATGGTGTACATACATGCAGCACAACACTCATACATAAGATAGAATAATCTTTTTTAAATGTTTTTAAAGACCAAAAGGGAAAAAGAGCTAAGATTCTCTAGGTACAGGGGTCTCACTTGCCTGAGCAGTGAGACCCCTGGGGCCAGGTGTTGTCCCTTCTGATCAGGTATATATCCCTTTTCAACATGGAGCTTGTCTGGGACAGTTGTCTATAGTCAGTTATCTTAGGTAGATGGAATGCAAGCATATGTAGAAAAGCGTCCATATGTAGATAACCACCGTCACCTGCCCAGAGATCTCGAGTGGAGAGAGGGCCTGTCCATAGTGCATCTGCCAGCAGATAAAAATGGGGAAGGTTGTGTTCATGGTGAAGTTCCCTCCACAGAGTGCTCCTCCAGACCTTTTAGTTAGCTTTTCATTTGTAGCTTTTTCTTTCAAATAACCTGCTTTTCATGAGTGCTCCTCCAGACCTTTTAGTTAGCTTTTCATTTGTAGCTTTTTCTTTCAAATAACCTGCTTTTCATGAGTGCTCCTCCAGACCTTTTGGTTAGCTTTTCATTTGTAGCTTTTTCTTTCAAATAACCTGCTCTTCATTTGATTTCTCATGGTAACATCCAGCTATCACAGCAAGCAACATGAACATTTCAGCATATGTTGGGAGGCACTGTGTTCACTGTGTCATGGGGAGTCCATTCAAGGAAGTAGCAGGCTGTGGGGCCTCTTCTAGTTTGCTTTCTGCTGTAGCTATAAAACACTGACTAGAACCAACTTGGGGAGGAAAGGTTTATTTGGCTTACAGGTTACAGTCATCCCCCAGGAGAGGCAAGGCAGGAACTGCAGAGAGCGCAGAGGAACACTGCTTACTGGCTTGCTTCCCCTGGGTGCTCAGTTTCCCACCTGCCCAATGGCACTGTCCATGCAGGCTGGGCTCTCCCACATCAATCAGCAATTAAAAAAAAAAAATGGTCCACAGACATGCGCACAGGCTAATCTGATGGAGGCAATTCTTCATTTGACATTCCCTGTTCCCTGGGTGGGTCTAGGTTCTCAGCAAGTTCACAAAAGCTAAGCAGCACAGAGCCCTTGCAGGAGCTACTGGAGACCTAGGTTTCTTCATCGTCAGAGTCTCTTTTTCTCTAAGTAACAGAGAACTAAGGCGTCTCTGAAAATACTCAAAGACATTGCTCTCCAATTTGAATACTGTACTAGCCTAATAGCAGTGACCATGCTGTGAGAGTCATGAACGCTAAGATTAGGATTGGGGCTTGTGTAAACAATATATTGTTATATTACGGATATAGTAGTATATTGTAAGATAAGGACTATATAATTATGTTTTTTTCACAGTGATAGCCACTAGCTTGCTCTCTGGAAGCTCTTCAGAGACCGAGCAATTCCAGGTCACTGTTTGATATGGTTCGGATGCGGGAGAGCCTGCTCTAAAGCCTTGCTTTTGGTCAGTGTGTGACGCTGCCTCTATTTTCCATGTCTAATGCGTTTCTGCTCATTTACTACAAAGGCAGCCCACTGAAGGGCGATCTCGTGATGGTGGCTTGCGTCTAGGAGAAATGGAACGTGATTGTTTAATCGGCTACGGAGCAAGTATGCTTTTGCTGGAGAGACTAATGATCTCAAGTGATGCCTTTGAGGTTGACGTCTGTGGGCAGTGTGGACTCCTGGGATATTCTGGCTGGTAAGTGGATAGATACCGCATCTCTCAGACCACATCCCTTGGCCTAGATAATGGCCCAAGAACTGTCCATGACCAGACTCAACATACTCTGCAGTCTTTGCCTGTGATCATGTGTGTGCCCTCACTTGTCCAAACATCCCCATGAGTAGGTGTTTGTATGTTGTGCCTTTAATGCTATATTTATACTGCTGTAGTTTAAGCTCCTAAGTAGGACAGATTTTCTCCTAATTTTAATATTATTGCAGGGCCTGAAGAGATGGTTCAGCACTTGTTGCTCCAGGACCTGGGTTCAGTCCCAGTGCCCATATGGTAGCTTACAACCATCCATCCATAACTAGAATTGCAACTTAAAACAGACAAGCAAACAAACAAAACCCTTAGGGGAAGTTGTATCAAGATCCATATTGTTAATCTCAGACCCCAAAAGCCAAATGATCCCACATCTTACAGTGACAAAGCTAGGGCAAAGACGGGTGTGTGTGCTGTGCCCCTTCCCCATGGCAAGTGCCCTGGACTGTCCACTCCAGGCTGCACAGACTGTCTCTGTCTCAGTTGCTCACCCAGCATGCATTCAGTATGTGCTGTGTCAGATGCAGCTCTGGGTCCAGAAGAACGGGAGGAAGGAGACATGCCGGCTGCTCCCTGCGTTCTGTCTGTCTCACGGATGCGCTCTCCAGTTTGCACCTGTAGATGCTTAATGAAAAATGTAACTGCTGGGGCTGCAGAGAGGCTCAGCGGTTAAGAGCACTGGCTGCTCTTCCAGAGGTCCTGAGTTCAATTCCCAGCATCCACATGGCGGCTCGCAGCCATCTGTAATGAGATCTGGTGCTCCCTTCTGGCCTGCAGGGATACATGCAGACAGAATACTGTGCAGGGATATACACAGACAGAACACTGTAGTTAATAAATAAATAAGTAAGTAAGTAAATAAATAAATGGCCTACAGGGATATACACAGACAGAACATTGTGATAGATAGATAGATAGATAGATAGATAGATAGATAGATAGATAGATAGATAGATAGATAGACAGACAGACAAACAAAAAGAAAAATGTAACTGCTAAGTGATCCCTCACATTGTGGAATTAACCAATAAGCTCATTATGTAATTTATAAAGTTTTTTATTTCCATGTACAGTCGAGTGTCTAAAGACCATCTTAATGGGTTATTTGTGTTGTATAGTTGTAGAACTTTTCTTGTTTGTAATCACTCCACTGCCACCAGAGGACAAAAAGATCTGCTTAGGGGTATCAGGGTCTGCAGCCCTGCAGTCCCTGTGTCGCTGACAGAGCCTGTGGTCCCTCTGATCTATCACAGTGTCTAAGATAGACATTCCATGGATGGAGAATAGCCATGATCCCCTACCTGCCTCATTGGAGGCAGAGGCAGGTGGATCTCTGTGAATTTGAGGCCAACCTGGTCTACAGAGCTAGTTCTAGAATAGCTAAGGCTACACAAAGAAACCATGTCTCAAAAAAAAGAGAAAGACAAAAAAAAAAGTAAAGGTGCACGCAAACCTGATGACCTGAGTTCCAGCCCCAGGACCACATGGGAAAGAGTAGAATCTCGCCTGTTGTCCTCTGACCTCCAGGTGTGCACTGTGGCATGCACAGGCCTGCAGACATACACAGGCACACACAGTCATACACATGAACGAACAAACAAACAATAGATAAGTAGAAAAAATGTTTGTTTTTTTGTCTTTTTTTAAAGAGCAAAGGGACTTCTTAGAGCACAGTATATACTTGCTAGCTTGGTAACAAACCTTTTAAGAGATGGATTGCAGTGTAGATGAATTGATGAGTGTAGTCAGATGTTTCTCTCATGCCCATTCAGAAGCCAAATATGAATTATAAATGCCTGACCAATAGCTCAGGCTTGTTAGTAGCCAACTCTTACATTTAAATTAACCCATTTCTATTAATCTATGTATTGCCACATGACTCGTAGCTTTCTTTACCTGTCCTCTAGCATGTCTTGCTTCCTTGTCTCCCCTCTCTGCCCTCCTTCTTCCCATCATTCTCAGTTTGACTTTCCTGCCTAACTTCCTGCCTAGCTACTGGCCTGTCTGCTTTTTATTAACCAATGAGAGTAATGCATATTCATAATGTAGAAAAGGATTGTTCTGTAGCATTTCTCCCTTATTATCTAATTAAAAAGGAAGGTTTTAACCTTAATATAATAAAACTATATATAACAAAATCAGTGATTAAGTACAAATTACAGTAACAATATCCAAACCATTAGCATTTGGCAAAATTAGAGAAAATAATTATCTCTTATCTTGGTGAGTCTAAAGTTTTGTATCTAATTTATCTTTTATCGTAACCAAGAAAACCTATAACTAGCCTATCTAGTCTTCAACTCTGTCAAAGACCCCCAAAAGGGTGAAATGTTACCTAATGACAGGGACATTTTGCTGCCTGGACAGTCACTTAAAGTTCCTCTGTAACATTGGGGCATCTGTCTTTGGCCTACAGGCCTAGTATAGCTGACAGATTTTTCTGAAAGCAGGAAATTTTGAAGGACTGTCCTACCATGTCTTGGCAAAGTTTGGTAGTCACTTTCTTTTATGTCCTGTTGGTCCAGTTTGGTCAGTAACTGTCACAACTGAGGCAAGTTTCTCTGCCCACATGGCTAGCTTTTGCCACAAAGAAAGCAAAGTGCATTTGGAGGTTCTTTGATGACTGTCATGTTCTCTGAAGTGGGCTGGTGCTGCCAGGAGCAGACCTGTCTCACTGTCATGGAAGACCTCAGGTTATCAAACATATTAAATGCCATATTCTGTAGGTCTTTAAAGTGTTTCAAGACCATCTATCTAAATATCTCTTTAACCTTGAAAACATACCTAATATGACTATAAGATTGAATATTGTAGATGGTTATTAATCTGTATTCCTTAATTATGTGTTATACTTTTAAATGAGCTGTATAACCACAATACCTTAAACAAAAGTAGAAAAATACATACAGTATAACAAAATTAACTTTAAATTTGTATCAATAAACTAAAATCTATACCAGTGTAAAATATGTAAGATTGATAGTTGGGTTTTTTTTTTTTTTTTTTTTTTGGTTTAAAGGTAGATTCAATAATCTACCCTTTATCCTATCATTTCTGTATCCCCCCTTTTTCTTTTCAGAACAAGATCCCTGAATCTAATCTCCTTTGTTTAGCTTTTTTCCTGACCACTATCCATAACAACTTGTAACCAATCCCCCTAAAGGATGACACACGTTCATAATTTCTTTTTAGGAATGTGGGCATAGTCCTCTAGACTACATCCTACTAATTGAGGGCACTGGTAATCTTTGGGGGACCCTTGAGAAAATTCAGGATTATTGTCAAGTCCTGACTGGAGTATTTTGTGAGGCTGGATCATCTCAGCCAATCGCCTTGAAGCTGTTCTGGATTTAGAACTCAGAGGAAACTGCAACAGAGGTACTCTGAGATGTTGTATCATCTGGGCCATCCACTCCCATTGGAAATTTTTTTGGGGGGTGGGGGGGTTGGGAGTGGGTCTTCCTCAATCAAACCTGATTTTTCTGAACCTGAAATGAATCCAGAGCTTCTCATTTCCTGTAGAAACAAAAGAAACCTCTTCCCCAAAGTAATATGTCTTTTGATTTAAATTTTGTAGTCAAGATAATTTTAAAATATATAAGTTGGTTTAATATAGCAGTTTCTTTAATCCAAGGCCTCTTAGCAGCCAAAAAATTTAAAGACAACACAATAATATACATAGTCCAGACTCTCTGTTTTCCATCTTTATGTGGCTTATTATATTTTTTATTCTATTCCTTTTTTAAGGATTTTATTATTTTAAAACTATATTTTTTAATCTAAGACTGTATATATTCTCTTTTTTCTTTTCTCTCCCAAGCCTACACATATTTTTAAACATACTGTGGCCCGTTTAGAGGCGCTTTTTGTCTGAATCTGTCCGCACTGTGCATCTGTAACCTTTTCCGTCTGCATGACCAAAAACCTGCTGTGTAACTTAGATCATGGCGTGCTGGTGCTGGCTCCTCCCCCTCGGTTCTCTGAAAGTCTGGTCTCATGGCAGAGGCACTTTTACTTAATATTGTTTATAAATGCTCGGCTGATAGCTCAGGCTTGTTACTACCTAACTCTTACATTTTAAATTAACCATTTCTATTAATCTGTGTATTGTCACATGGCTCGTGGCTTTACCTGTCCTCTTAACATGTCTTGCTTCCTGGGCAGCTGGCTGGCGTCTCCCCTGACTCCACCCTCCTTCTTCCCATCATTCTCAGATTGGCTTTCCTGCCTAACTTCCTGCCCAGCCACCGCCCAGTCAGCTCTTTATTAACCAGTGAGAGTAATATATATTCATAGTGTAGAAAGGGATTGTTCCACAGCAGGTGAGTCCTGTTTATGAAGAAACTGTTAATTTGGACACAATGGAAAAGTGTCCACTTTTAATTTCATTCTTTCCCTAAGGTCACAGAGTTGGTGATGTTCTTATGAGAATAAGCCTAGCCTGTTCTATCAATGAGATGAGGTTTGTTCAGTCCTGGGAAGTCTGTTGTCTTCTGAAATGCATATAGAGCGAAGTGTGGGCTGTATAACGAGTGGAGAGACAGAGAGCAATAGCATTATAGGATGGGGCCTGGGGCCTAGTTCCCCATCCTTAAACCTTCCAGTCTGGCATAAGAGTTCTCATTTCGTCTTCCTTGTATTTCTCTCCTCCTCTGAAAGGAAAAGGAAACAGTGAAGTGGGTCCCCCAGGCCCACACCTTTGTCTCTGTGCTCGGTGCTTGGGTACAGCTGGCATCAGGCTGGACAGACGGCTCTATCTCATTAAACCTCTGCCTCCTTTGCTGCTTTGCTTCTGGCTAGTGTCAGGCTCATCTGATTGCAGCCCTGATCATGCATTCAGGTCATGTGGTCTGGCGGTCTTTATCTGCAGCCACAGAGACCTTAAGACACCGTATGTCTAATTTGAGTGCCCTACTTATACTCTGTTGCCAACAGAAGAAAATCCTAACCCATTCTGTAGTCTGACTGCCTCTTCATGAGCTGCTGTCTGGCTGAGCAGCATAATGATGCTGTCATTTTTCCTGTCATTACCTGGTCTGGTGCGCCCAGCTGATGGGAGGGAGGAAGCACAGCTAGTTGGAGACACTTGCCCTTTAATAAGCCACACAATGGAGGCCGGGTAATTAAGGGGTTCCGTGTCTTGGAGCAGGACCCGTGAGTGACTTGCACATTCGTAAGGCATTACTATGGGAGGTTTACAGCAAGACTGTTGTTTCTCAGAGGACCCGGACGGGAGTCACCAATGAGCCCTGTTAAGGGAATTAGCTCGTGGAGGATGCTGCACTGGGCATGCACCTCGTGTGCAGCCACAGCTTCCTCCTCTTGCTGTCTTCGTCCTAGAGATCAGTTTACTTTATTGTTCTTGGTCAGGTTTCTATCTCTGCAAGTTGTTCAGCCATAGAGTAAATTAGCTTACGTGTGTATGTGTAAATAAAGAACATTGGAATGCTTTGAATGATTATATTAAGAAGATTAATTGGTTATTCCGGCTATGAATCAGCACATATGAAAATTTTAACTAGATTAACCAAAATTGGAGCCACCATGTAATATACAGGATAGGAAAACCAGGAAGAAGTTACCCCAGTTCAGTCTGTTTCCCCAATTTAATTAAAGTAGTATATGGGTATGATTCCTGAATAGTTTAGACCCACCCAGGCACATTAAAAATATGTCTTGATTCTCATGCTTTAAAGAAGTCTTTGGGCTGTCTTTTAAGAGATTTTATGTTGCTGAAGTTTCTATCATCGCTATGTCTCTGCTGTCAGCATCGGGGATGGTGCAGCCTTCTCCCACCGGACCCCCTCCTCGGGGGTTCTGTCCCGCAGGTCACTGTCACCATGTAAGTTCTCATCCTCAGTATTTGCTGTGCTTTTCTGAAGTTTAAACAGGGGAAAGAGTATGATGTCTGTCGCACACTTACCTCAGGACCCAGCAGATGGCATGGGATCCGCTACAAGTATGAAGCCAGCCGGTCTGCATGGCAGGCTCAAGGACACACCAAGGTTCTAAAGCAAGCCTCTGTCAAATAAAATAGGATTAAATACAACACACACACACACACACACACACACACACACACACACACACACACACGAAAGCAAGCAGTCGCATTTTGCTGGCTGTAGGAATAGCCCTTGCTCAAAGTTACAAGTAGGGGTACAGGCATTCCCACCTCCTAGAGATGACTGCTGGTATAATTGAGTGACGGTGTCCTTGGAGCATAGCTGATTGCCCTTACTCTTCAGTTTTTACTTACTTTTTAAATTGTAAACCCTCTCAAGATTCTGATAATAAAAGATCCAAATATGAACCTTTAAAAAAAAAAAAAAAGACCTCTTGCAACCTAGGCTGGCCTTGAACTTATGATCCTCTTGCTTCTGCCTCCCAGGTGCTGAACTTACAGGACTGTAGGAATGTACCACCACATCCACCCAAATATACACATTTTTTCTTTGACATTTATTCTTAATTTTTGTATTTATCTATTAATATACAGATGCCATGGGGTACTTACAGAGGTCGCAGGACAGTCTGTTGGTCTTGGTTCTCTTTACCCCCGTGGGACCTAGGGATCAGACTCATCAGACTAGGTGAAGCACCCACTGAAAGTCTAGTCTCATGGCAGAGGCATTTACTTAATCCCTTGCTTCTTCTCTGTCTCCTTTTAGTGTGCATGGGTACTTTCCCTGCTAGCAGTCTGTGGAGGCCACAAGAGGAGGTGGGATTCCCTGGGACTGGAGTTCCAGATGGTTGTGAGCCATTGTGTGGATGCTGGGACTCAAACACATGTCCTCTGGAAGAGCAACCAGTGTTCTTAACCATTGAGCTGTCTCTCCAGTCCCCTCATTACTTTTGCATCTTAGAAGTCTTTTCAAACTTTTGATGTGTTTGGGGCTTAGAAGTCCATCTGAGGGAGCCTGGGTACTGTCTGGCTAACTGGAGTATTTTACTCTACAGTGTACCCTGAACATCTCCGTTTCGGTGACTGTTAGTCTTCTGTGACACTGAGTGACTGTAACACTCTTCTGTATAAATGTCCTAGAATGAGAACCAGCTGGTTCTCTGAGCTCCAGCTCTGTGCTCTTGTTAATAGCCTCACTGTGGACGCTCTTCTGAGTCTTCTACTGGAAAACCTGGAAGGACAACTCACCTCCTCCCCAAGGGACCTTCTGTACTCATAGATTAGGAGTGAGACCAGAAGAGGGCGAAGAATCTGACATGGTGTGGCTAGCATGTTGGCTGGGATGCAGACTGTTGCAGCGGTCAAGTGGAAATATTTGCATGTACATACACAACATTTCTCAGGTTTTTGCAAGGGACAGCTTTGTAGCTAAAGTTTTCCTGCTTAGCCCACAGTCAGGACAAGTCTCTGTCACCCGCCAGTCCCACAGCCGCTCAGGCCCAACCAAGTAAACACAGAGACTTATATTGTTTAAACTGTTTGGCCTAATGGCTCAGGCTTCTAGCTATCTAGTTCTTATATCTTAAATTAATCCATTTCTATAAATCTATACCTTGCCACGTGGCTTGTGGCTTACAGGCATCTTCACATGCTGCTTGTCATGGCAGCGGCTGGCAGTGTCTCCACCTTCCTGTTCTCTCAATTCTCCTCTCTGGTAGTCCCGCCTATACTTCCTGCCTGGCCACTGGCCAATCAGTGTTTTATTTATTGACCAATCAGAGCAACAGATTTGACATACAGCCCATCCCACAGCACAGCTTACTGTAAATACTGACTGATAGACCAGTCTTGAGGCCACTGCTGCTCTCCTATTTAAAAGGCTTCTTTTTCATCAGACTTGACGTGCCTCAGTGGTAGGAGCTGAATTTTTTTGGCGAGTGTGCCCCCAAACACAATGTGGATTGGTGGATTCAGCTGAAAACTCCCACAGTGAAACAGCTGACTCAGTTCCTGATGGTTCCAGTTTCTGGGATTCTTTCAAAACAGTTTGACGCAAATGTATTCCCTTTTGAAGAGAAAGTCCTAGAAATGTAGCTGATGGACTCAAGTTGCATACTTTTAAACTGCAGAGGTTGGTTTGTATCGTTCTTGACTTTGAGTCCACAGATGTCCCTCTGACTTTCTGAGCCATCAGTACGTGTCTGACAGGGATGGACTGCTCAGGGAGAGGGACGTAGCGTGCTGTGTGCAGGCCTTAGTTGCCGCCCCTCTGACGCATGCCCACTTGGGTTTCAGGTGCCACTACTGCAAGTCGTCCTGCCACGTATCCTCGCTCCGCATCCCGTATGCCTGCAAGCTGCTCTTCCAGGAGTTGCAGTCCATGAACATCATCCCCAGGTTGAAACTGGCCAAGTACAATGAATAAGGATGGGTGCGGTCACTGAGGGACACGGCCAGCAGCCTGCACAGCACGAAGCAGAGGACTCCGAAGGACTTCTGTGATGGTTTTGCCTCACAAAAAGCTGAGAGGAGGAGCAGCAGCCTCTGAGTTCCAAAAGGCTGACTGGACAGCCTTGACCAAGAGCCTCGAGTCACGGGAGATGCTGGCCCCACAGACCACAGCCTCGTGCCGATTCACAGGGGCGCACAAGCTAGAGAGCTTATGAACTGCTGTTGATTTTCTTTTGCTTTGAGTTAGAATCTCACTCTGTAGTCCAGGCTGGATTTGAGCTTGTCCCAATCCTCCTGCCTCCATCTCTCACAAGTGCTGGATTTACAGGTATGAGCAAGCGTATCTGGCTTATTTATGTTGTTTTATTTTAAAATGTACTGATTTAGAAAAACCTTCCTTACAATTCCCCATGACATCTTCTGGTTAACAGAACTCTGGTTTCTCGTCAGATGTGCAGGAGGTAAAGAATTGTTTGAATTGGGACTAGGAAGTTAGCTGTCAGTAAAGTATCTGTTGACGCAAACATGAAGCCCTGAGGTCATCCCCAGCGACCCACGTAAGAGCTGGACATGCATCTAGCACCCGTGTAGGTCTGCTGCTGTGGAGGTGGGGTCAGGAGCAGCCAGGAGCAGCCAGGGGCAGCCAGGGGCAGCCAGGCAGGTCCTGAGCTTGCAGCTAGTGTAGCCGGTCAGGTTCAGTGACAGACCCTGGCTTAAGAACTGAAGCGGAGAGTGATGAGGAAGACTCCCCGTGTCCACCTCAGACCCCCCCACACGCGCGAATAGTTAGATTTGTTGGAAGAAGTAAACTGACACCCGGAGGGTGTCAGGTGACACATGGGCTCTCTGGGGCGTGGTTACATCAAGTCTCACACACGAGACTTGAGTCTTGGTGGGATGTGATCAGTGCAGCCCGCCTTGTAAGCATGTCCTTCCTTAAATACCAGATGGCAGTTATTTTGAACCTCCAAAATACCTGGGTACAGTGTGTGGACACGTGGTCATCCCTGTCCCTTCCGTTCCTACCAGGATGTTAATTGTCCAGTCTCTCAACTGTTGTACCCCGAAGCCCGATAAATATTTGTACTAAGGATTATTTATTTTAAAAAACAGAAGAGTCCAAGAATCGTTGAGTAACGAATGGTCCAGGCTCTGTTCTCGGCGTCGTGCCGCAGTGAGATGCTCCTGAGAATACTGACAGGTGTGTGCACTGGTAGAGGTCAGATCCAGTGTGAGAAAGAGGCTGAGGGGCCCCAGGGCTTTTCAGACCACCGCTCACCCCAGGCTACGGCAGGTGGCCCAAGGGACCAAACTAGGCACTGACCTGAAGACTCACCCATCTTGTGTTCCTCACAATAAAGACGTGGAAGTCGGAACAACTGCTCAGTCCAAGCAGAGGAGGCTGTGAGCGGGCAGCGTTCGTTCCTTCAGTGTGTGTGAAGTCAGAGGCGGCACCACATGTTCCCTGAAAGTCGGCTGTTCCCTACTTTGTCACCCTTTCTCCATATTGATGGCCCCTCCACATCACTACTTGGGTTGTGTGCTTCCTTGGTCCGTCAGAGGGATTTTTTTTCCTGTGGTGATCTTGATTCCACCAACTCCATCAAGGTTGATAACCCCCCAGTGCCAGGCCATCTTGTCACCAAACACTCAGGTCCTTTGGAAGGAGTAGGCGGTGTTTTGGGTACTGGCACCAGGACACATCACTCAGCGCTCAGTACGATGGATGGATGCACTGGATTGGGGGTAGAAGGAGCAGAATATGCTTCTTGATGAACACAAGTACAGGAAGAGTCCAGTCTGTGAGCAGACCGAACTCAACTCATCCGTGTTGCAGGAACACCCATGCACACTGACCCACACTCACAAGCTTGAAGCACTTTTCAGGGTGATTAGCTCCCTATTACAGCTAAAGAAACTGGGGCAGAGTAGCCAAGTGGCTCCCTAGACCATACCACCACAAGGGGATGGTAAGAGCTCCAAAACCCCAGGCCTGTTTGTCTTCATCCACGATTCGCCAGAAGTGGTGTGTTTTAGACATTCAGATGCCACTGAGAGCTTCTGTTTCCTGCAGATGAGAGGTGTGATCACCTGGAGAGTCGCTGCCTGTCTGGTGGAGGAAACTACAGTGCTCCGAGTTCGCACCTCTGAGAAGGCATTGGGTCTAAACTGACGTCAGTCAAAGGAAAGCAGTTGGGTCGTTTCAAAACGAGCAGAGGGCACACTTGAATAGCTGTTTGTCTGAGAACTTAGTGAAAAGAGACAGCAAGAGCTGGGTGTGGCTCCATGGTAGATCACTTGCCCAGCACCCCCGTTCTGTCCCAAGCACTTGCACCAAAGGCCCAGTTCATCAGTCTTACTCAGGTCTATTTTTTTAAAGTTATTCTCAGCCCCTGCTTTAAAAGCTACCAATTAGATCCTATTTTTAGTAAGGATGGATGATTTCTTACAGTCCGCCCATGAAGCGCTTTACCCCTGAAGGCTCTTAAAGGGTGGGAGTGGCATGGGATGCGGTGGAAGTCTCACCAGGACTCACCCCCACGGAGGCTTCAGCAGAGCCAAAGGGCTGCAGAGACACTCTCGGGTGTTGCCAAGGTACCCGACCGGACAGGCTGACATCCCACACAGGGAGAAAGCTTGCTGAGTGACTCAGGGATTTTCCACTGTCCCCTGGATCTGTCAGCTCAGGCTGCTGTGGCAGAGTACCACAGTAGGGTGGCTGAGATGATGGATTATTTTCTTAGTTACGAAGGTTCCTGTCAGCCAACGCCTTGATGAGTCCCCGGGTGGCTTTTCCTTGGTGCACACTCAAAGCACACTTGGGCACCACTTCTCAGGACACCAGTCCTGCTGGGTTAGCATGCCACTCATCTGACATCACTAGTTCTTTAAAAGGGCTGCTCTCTGAATATGGCACAGCGACAGGGCTTCAGCATGGAGATTCTGAGGAATCTGCTCAGTCCTTTGTACCCCTCAAGACATTTGAAACAGTTCAGGACAGCACAGGTAGATATGTGGGAAGTACCTATTCAAACCCAGTCACCAGAACAGTTCACTGCTAGGTGTGTGTGTGGGGCGGGGGGGGGGGGGGGGGGGGGGGGAATGTGTATGTGTATGCATGTGGGTGAGAGAGAATGTGTTGTAACAGTGAGAGTGTGGTGGGTGTGATTGGGGGTGTGTGACTGAGTGTGGGGGGTGTAAGTGTGTGCATGCATGTGGGAGGGTGGTCAGTGTCCCCAGCAGCATTGTCATAGCCCCTGGTTTTACAGAACCCCTACCTACTAACAATACTATAAATTATAATATGTCATCACAGAAGAACACCATAGGATGATGAAAATGAATTGCTACTGCATGTAATATCAGTCATCTCAAAAATTAATTACTGGAAAAGCCCCCAAAGATTATATATTTTGTTGGTTCTTTTTGGCCTTTGGTGGTGCAGGGAGGAGTGGTCTCATGTAGCTCAGCCAGGCCTTGAGTGGTCTTGACTTCTGATTCTCCTGCCCACACCTCCTCAGTGCTGGTTTATGTGGTGCTGAGGACCCAACCAGGGCTCTGGGCATGCTGGGTAAGCAGACTGCCAACCTAGCTGCATTCCCAGGCTCGTTTGGTTCTTAAGTTTCAAATTAGGCAGAATTGATCTATGAAATGAAGTTGTGTGTGTGTGTGTGTGTGTGGACTGGAGAGATGGCTCAGCAGTCAAGATTCCCAGCACCCACATTGGGAGGCTCTCAGCAACCTGTAACTCCAGCTCCAAATGATCCAGCGCCCTCTTTTGGCCTCTATGGGCACTGCACTGATGTGTACATAAGCACACACACAAAATAAGTTTTTTAAAAAGATACATAATTTTTGCATTGGGTTTATGGTATTCTTTAATACTTTTTTAAGCCTACCAGCTAACTCAGCAGTTAAGGACACAGGCTCAGCCTCATGGCTACATGATCTCAAATTGTCTCTGCTCCTTGAGTTTTCCCATCTTCAGAATAGAGGAATAATAGTACCATCCAGGGACTCTTTGTTTTTCCCTTTTTTATTTATTTGGTTTTTTTTTTTTTTTTTTTTTTTTTGAGACAGGGTTTCTCTTTGTAGCTTTGCGTCTTTTCCTGGATCTCGCTCTGTAGACCAGGCTGGCCTCAAACTCACAGAGATCCACCTGCCTCTGCCTCCCGAGTGCTGGGATTAAAGGCGTGCGCCACCACCGCCCAGCTCCCTTTTTAAAAAAAAAAATTTATTCTATACGTCTTTTACATCACGGGTCTTGATCCCATTCATTTCCCTGTCCCTTCGCATCTACCCTCCACCCCTGCACACACACACATACACACACACACACACAAATAGAATTTAGGGGTAAAAATAAAATCTCATGGGAGCTGCGTTGTGACACAGTGCGTCACGCAGTACCCCTTGTCCATGTGTCTTGACTTGCAAGTGGCCAGTGTTCGTTGCAGAGTCATTGGTCTGGTTCGAGGCCTCTGGTTTCCACTGCGCTATCGATGCTGGGTCCTCACTAGGACTCTTGGATATCCTGTTGTTGCCCTGTGCTGTGGAGATCCTGCAGCTTTGGGGCTGCAGTCAGGTTCCTTCACGTGCTCCAGCAGATCATAGCTGGGGGGGATGTTGGGGCGGGCCAAGTCCTAACCTTGGTTCTGGGCGGCTGTAGGGTCCTCACCACCAGGGTGAGCTCTCCAGCATTGTCCCTGCTAATTCACCTCCTGCAGCAGTGAGCGAGGGGTGGGGCCAGTTCCTCTCCCACACCCTCAGGGTCAGCCCTCCCACACTTGCACCACCAGGGCCGGCTCTGTTGTGTTACCCAGGCGAGGAACAGGGGCCACTCTTCTTCGAGTGCTGCAGCTGATGAGGGACAGGGACAGCCCTCCTGCTCTTAGGACCCCCTGGGGCTCTTCTTAAGATTATATGTGATTCTATAGATTATATGGGCCTGGCCCAAAACAGGCTGACATGTCTGCTGTTTTCGTCAGGAACAGCAGCCTTTGTCACGTGTCTTGGCAGGACATTCATTCCCAGGGAGCTTCAGGCCGAGATCCCACAAAGACTGGAAGCTCACTGGGTGACTGGTCCTGAGGCTCCTGGGTTCATCAGTTCAGGCAGCAGTGACCAGACAACACAGGCAAGCCGCCCTGCTTCCTAACCAGGAGGAGTGACAGCGATAGAGTCAGAACATGCTTGGAATCACCGCTTACCACTGACATCAAAGAGAGGGTGAGTTGTCAGCGCTGGAGACCCAGCAGTTTCCTGAAGCCCAGAGAACACTTCCATGTGGGAAGTCAGCGAGCGCCGTTCCTAACAAGGCCCTGATTGGGTGCTAATAATGGGCACCGTTTGGCCAGCACCTTTATTTTCAGTAATGAGTCACACAAGACTGAACACTTCAGGCCATGTGGCTGGGCCCCTCCACGTGGCCTCTGCCCGGTCTGCTGTGAAATGGATGGTCAGAAAAGCAACTGTAAAAGTCACACCTTTCCTCTCTGGATTGACTCCATGTGTGTCTTACCAAAACGTGTATTTCATTTGTTGACTGCAAGTTGGACTTTTACTATACCAGACCATGGGGCCAAGATGGGTGGGAATTCAAAGTCACGCTTCTTTGAAGAGGAAGTTTTAAACGGGGTGAAAAGTGGCGGTCCAGAAGTACATTGTTGGTTGCCAAAGCCAAGCTACCAGTTTGATTTGAGACTCCAGAAGCGCTAACAGATTGGCTTCAGGAAATCAAATCTGTGTCTTGGGATATCATGGCAGAAAGTTTCAAAACGATGCGGAACTAACCTTTTCACTCATAAGTCTAAGTTGTGAGGTGAAATACTCTTCAAGTCCACATAATAGCCACCATTCCATGCTCAATAAATTCTAAGCCGGGTTTGCTTCCAACCATCCACATTAACGGAGGCAAGGAGGGGTATTAGGAAATGAAGGCAGGTGATGGGTCCAGAATCCTTTGCATCCGATGCGAGGAAGGAATTTCACTTTCAGTAAAACTGGAGTGGTAGCATGACTTTGCCTTGTTCATAGTGACTCCTTCACACTGTACTGGGAGAAGCTGGAATATCTAACACACCATACTGGTGATAGAGCTCTGGAGGACGGGGCAGCCTGGCACAGTGGGGATGCTTGTAGGCCAGGGATTCTCCAAGAGTTCCAACCAGGTACTCAAATGTAAAGACCCAGGAATTGTGGCCCTGTGGGTGGTTCTGATGATACCCAAAATTTCAGGTCCAGCTAAAGCAACGCTGCACAGCCCACCCTCCTGTCCAGCTAGCCCTGGGATGTGTAGGGTGCCAAGGTATCCTCTCAAACACCTTGGAAACTGACTCCCTGCTTGACTTGCTCTTTCATGTCCTCTTGGCCTGCCCTGCCCTCCCACGAGTCCTCACCCCAGTTGATACTTTCCCAGCCTGCTCCTCTGTAGAAGGCGCTGTGCGGAGAGTCACAGCAGATAGGAACAGATAGCTGTCCTCCAGATCCTGCCCCGTGGCTTCCCCTGGCACCTACTGTTTTCAGACTTCAGCCCCTAGGTTCCCTTCCATGACCCACCTGAGCTTCCAGCCATCCTGCAGCCTTTCTGAATGTGGAGAAGCTCTCAGCTGGTCCACCCCAGCTGCTCTTTCCCATCCCGTCCCCATCCTTGAAGGACTGACAGTGTCACCTCTCTAAGTCAGTGCAAACGTGGCCTCCTTAGGCCATAGAGGGAATTTGAAGATGGATTTCTCAATTCTTCCAGGTGGCTGAGCCTGAAAGAGCCAGGAAGCACAAAGTGACCTTAGGGATGCTTTCCCAAATGGAGGAAAGTGTTGATACCAGCTCACATGAGGGCGCAGAGGCCCTGGGAGAGCCCTACGTTGTCTGTTACTAAGCTGAGCCTCAGCTTTCTCATCTTCAAGAGAATCTGCCCTCCCTCCCTGCCCCACCCAGGCTCCTACTGAAGTAAGATGGAGACTCACCCCAATTTCTGCTCAGGAAACATGCAAAGAAGCACCTGCCCCGTGCTAGGCAGTGGGACCAGCTTCCTGCTCTTTATACATGTGTGTGTCCAAATAGACCTAGTGCATCCACCGAGGTACCAGTGATGTTTGGGACTGGGTAACCCCTTGCTGGGGAAGCTGCACTCTGCCATTGTAGGATATTCAGCCACACCCCGTGCCTGAACTCACAGGATGCCCTTTATATGACAATCAGACATTGCCAAGTATTCCTTGAGGGACAAATTACCTCCAGGTTAAAGCCACAGACCGAGGCAATATTATGAAAGTGGTTTATATGTTTAAAACAATAGGAAACAATAGCAAAATTATAGTTTGGGACTGTGATGGTCCAGTGGTTAAGAGCACTGGCTACTCTTCTAGAGGACCTTAGTTCTATTCCCAGGACCCACATGGCAACTCACAGCTATCTATAACACCAGTTCCAATGGATCCAGTGACCTCCTCTGGGCTCTGTGGGCACCAGGCATACATGTTGTGCACAGATAGACACTCAGACAAAACACTCACACACATAAAATTATAGCTGTACATATCAACCGACTTCACCAGGAAGTGTCAATGGAACTCAAAGCCTAGGTTTCTCTTGGTTAGACCACAGTTAGGATGACATCAGCTAAGCCCTATTGGTCATAAGTTGGTTGTTATGTGGATTTTCATTCATATTGTACAATAGAATGGGCGTTTATATACCTTATAATAACATTACAGACATAAAAAGACTAGTCACCATCTCCATTTCTATTCACGTTTGCCCAGACTTGGTTTTGTTCTGGATCTTAACCAATTTCTTGTTTTGTTTTGTTTTTCCCCCAGAGACATATAGTCAGCCCTGGGCTTTGCATCTCCCTGGCTGCCACCATGTAGCAGGAATTGTTTAGCTTCTGATCTACCTAAAGACAGGAGTCCTGTCTTCTCTGTGGATGATCCCAGAGGACTAAATGGGGTGTCAGTTGGTTCTCACTGCGCCAGTATGGCTGACACAGACAGCTTGAGGAGGAGAAGGCTTTACTTTAGCTCAGTTTCAGAAGCACGGGTACATGATATATATATATATATATATATATATATATATATATATATATATATATATATATATATATATATATATATATATATATATATCACAGCAGGAAGAGCTGGGTGACCAAGGGTGGTGGACAGGGAACAGGGAGTGCCTCCTGTGTTCTCGCGTTTTTTCCCACTGACTCTCTGGGAGGCCAGCCTACAGCATGGTACCACTCCCATTCAAAGAATGTCCTCCATGACTCCCTTCGTCAGACCCCTCTGGGTGCACTTTACTAAGCTCTGCACTTCTCACACCAGTCAAGTGACATTGAGATTAACCATCACACAGTGGTAGGAGTGCCCTCCCCTAAGCAACCTGAAGGATGGCCTGCGCGTCAAGATGACAACCATCACTGGGTCCTCGGAGCAGGGAGGCATCAGCAGCTCTTTGTGAGTTGCTGGAAGCTTTTCTTCCTAGTCACTGTGGGTCTCTCAGGCCCATGCAGGTGTCCAGCCTCTCAGGATCTGAGACATAGAAATATCCACACAGGAAATGAAACGGGAGGCTCTTGTCAGTTCATCTTACTCTGTCTGCAGGGAGCGTTGTCTAATTAGCTCATGCAATATCAGATGCTACAAAGATCCCAAGGCTGCAGATGTTACAGCCCCTTCCAAATGAAGTCAAGGATAGTGAACGATACACACATGAGCTTCTCTTCCCCGTCTGGGCCCATTCGAATGCTCTCTGTCACTCACAGCCACCCCATATTAAACCTGTGTTTGTCCTGGCTTGACAAGAGGAGAAGACAAAGACCAGCTGGGAGGCCAGAGTGTGCTGGGGTCACAAGCAGGGACGCATCCACCTTCAAATCTGGTGCCACCATGTCCTACCTTCTATGATCCTGGGCAAATTAGTTTGCTTTGGTCTCCTCGTCTGCAAAAGTGAAATAATAATAGGATAATAATAATACTTGGGGCCGACCCAATTATTCTGCTCAAGCCACAAATAAGTATTAAATAAATATCAGCTGTCCTGATTCCTGGGAAGTGGACTCCTTATGGAACCTACTTGCCAGCCCTCAGATTGACTCAGAGATCATTTCTTACCTCAGTGGGGCAGCTGTTGTGCTAATACCAGAGAGTTACCTTAGAGTGGTTAGTTTACATTTTCGTTCAGAAGTCCCCAAGTAGAGCTGAGGGGAGGGCTCACTTAAAAAGCATGATATCCTGAATTTGGTCCTCAGAGCCCATGTAAAAATACCAGGCATGGGGCTAGGGACATGACTAAGCATAAGGACCAGGGGCCAGTCCCCAGAATTGACGTAAATGCTGGGTGATTGTGACTGCTTTCCTCTGAGTCCAGCCTTGGAATGCAGAGAAGGGGGTCCCCAGAGCATGCTATGATCTCTAGGTTTGATAGACAGATTGTCAATGAATAAGGTAGAAGAGAGATTGATGGTGATCCTGACATCATCCTCAGGTCCCCACATGCATGTTCACACAAGTGTTCATTTCATGCAGACACATGCAGATGCGCGCGCATGCGCGCGCACGCACACACACACACACATACACACACACACACACCAGGCGTGGTGTCATGCTCTTGTGGTGCCATTGCTGAAGAGGTACAGACAAACGGATCCCTGGGACTCACCAGCCAGCCTGGCCTACCTGATGGGCTCCAAAACTCAAAGGAGGTGGGTGGTATGCCTGAGGATGACACTCAGGGTTCTCTGCCCTCCACGTGCACACACTCATAATAAAGAACATTTTCCCAAGGAACCTTTGGTCACAATGGAGACAGAGTCTAAAGCTGTGGCTGACTGAAAGGAAAACCCTCTTGACTGGGCAAACAAGCAGCTCGAAGTGTTTCCCTCGTCCTGGGCCTAGGGAGCATTTCCTAGTGTGGGAATTTCAAGATGTGCACATGGCTTCCCACACAGCATCCCCGCTGCTGTGTGTGACCAGATCCTATAAATGTATGTGTGTGCAAATATTCAGCTCTGTGCAGAGGACTCAGCATTCATGTCCCCTGCACAAGAATCCAGTGACCTGCATGAGAAAGAATTTGTGCATGAAGGAATCTTTGGCTTATGTGCAAAGGAAAAAGTCTCCCCTGGAAAAATGCAGGCCTTACACATTTAGCAGACCCTTGTGTCCACAGAAACAGTCACTGCCAATTAGGCAACTGCTGGCAGATCAGAAGCAAAAGCCCGCACATGAAACAGAGGGTGCGGGGAGATTGCCGCCTTCTATCTCTGAATTATGGGCGGTGAGCTTGCCTCCCCCTGTGTCCAATCTGCTCTGAGCTTTTCCTGCTGTGGACCAGAGGCCCCAGGGACTTTTACACACCCCAGTTTTCACGCAGCTTACTGATTCCTTTTTCACATGAATGAAAAGCGCCTTTGATTTTGAAGACGCACGTCTGTTTTGTGTAACACTTAACCGATGTGCCAGAATCATCCTGTACCTTAAAGGGGGTCTTGCACTGGGTTATTAAAATCAGTCGTTCTGGGAAGAGTCACTTTGCTCACTTAAAGGGTAACCGTCCACCTCTCCTAATGGTGCTTATCTCGTTAAACCTGGATTAAGGAGCAAAGGAGAGGCCGACCAGCAGCTGGAACCCAGCCACAGCCCATGGGTGGACTTGAGCGAGTTACAGAGGGGCTTCAAAGGCAAAGTAGCTTCTCCGGATCAGCTGATCCGAACCTCGGAGCTTCCCAGCCCTCTCTTCTCTGGAACCTTCGCTTCTAAGTAGTCACTCCAGTTAGACTATGATAAGTCACGAGAGAATTGAACCAGGTCATTTGTCCAGTAGATACAGTAGGCTGGTCGCCTCACTGTGGAGTTCCCTACCTCTGGAAAGGGCTGAGGAGAAATGAAACCATAATCTGCCCCACCAGACAAAGTTCTACTTCTTTTAGATAGGGGGCGCTCTACTGGGTCCTGGGACTGCAGAAAAGAGCTAGATGCCCAGCTTGCTCTCAGGGCACTTGGCAGGGGCAAGGAACACAGAAAAGCTCGGGTTGGGGTTCATGTCCATAACTTTAGTAAGTTGGCCTACATGCTCAGCGTGAAGGAGGGATTAAGTTGAAACAAGACAACTCCCACCAGGTCCTCATGGTCAAGTTGGTCTTCTCTCCCCTCTCCCAGTATGAGAATCTCTGCTCTGAATAAGTCACTAAAATAAAAGGGTTCTGGGTGGATTTTTGAAGAGAGGAGAGAGAAAGAGAAACAGTCAGAGAGAGAGTCTGTGTCTGTCTGTCTGTCATCCTGTAAACCCGTACTTTAAGGCACTGTCCCGTTGGATGGTCAGCTGAAGAGGTAACCGACTCTTCAGTGTTGAGCAATTTATGTTGTCTTCAGTGATGACTGACTTCAAGGTGTTTCCATTCTTGATGCTGGCTTTAGAAACCGTCAGTGAGACTACATTCTTCTACTGGGCAGCTAATGGCACCACAGAGAGGACGCTCTTGAGCACTCAGGGCACGTTTTCCAGAGGAGATTACTGCCATAGCTGATTTCAGAGTGAGTGAACATTCGCCAATGGAAGGGTAGTCTAAAATGGGCTTGTGTGGAGAGAGTGGAGTTGATAGGACTTTGTGGGAATTGAGACACAGAAGTCAAGGGAGCGCCTGAGTTCTAAGCTGTACAGAGAACCCGATAGTGAACCTCCAGGACAAGGAGAGACTGGCCAAGAGCCTGAGTCAGCCGCGCATCTGATGAGACACAGCACTGTGGACAGACTAGGATGTTATGGTGATTGACAACGTGAGAATGGATCTCTCTCTCCTCTCTCCCCCTCTCTGCTGAGTAATATTCTATTGTGTATTTATACCACATTTTCTATATCTGTCCATCCGTCGCTGGATAGCCGTGTTGATCCTATGCTACTCTAAACAGCATTGCACTAAAAATGTGAACGCAGTGTCCCTCCAGCATACTAACTCCATCTGCGTTGAATATACACCCAGAGGTAGGACTGCCGGGTCACATGACAGTACTGGCTCTAGTCCTGAGGCGCTTCCTTTCTGTTTTCCACAGTGACTGTGCTAATTTATACTCCCACCAACAATGTGGAAGAATTCCCTTCTCCACATCCCTGCCATTATTTTTTTGTCTTTTTGATAATCACTGTGCTAACTGGGGTGGTATGATGGACCTCCGGTTTTGATTTGCATTTCCCCCAAGGATTAGTGCTGTGGAGCAGTTCCATATCCATGTTAGCCATTTGAAAAATGTCGAGTCATATCATGGACCCATTTTTTCAGGCACTTCCTTTGCTTTGAGTTTTATGTTTTGTTTTGTCTTAGCTTGTGTTTTGTTGTGTTGTGGTGTTGTTTGAGTTTCTTATATATTGTGCAGATTGATCCCTGTCGGATGAAAGCTTGCGAAGGTTTCTCCCGTTTGTAGGTGGTGTCTTCTTCCTGTTCTTATTTCTTTTGCTCTGAAAGATTTTTAATTTGGTGTAATACCACTTGTTAATCTTTGCTTTTGTTGCCATGCCTTTGGGAAAACTCACGATACTCTGACACATTCTCCCTGTTTTCTTCTAATAGTTCATGGTTTGGAGTCCATCCTTCTGTCTGAGATGTCCGCTACCCTGGATGTACAGTACCCAGGTCGTCTGAAACTGCCAGATGTGACATGGCAGCCCTGGCACTTCTTCATGCTGTAGCTAGAACACACTTACTTACAGACACTTTTCCTCATCCACTGTGGATGTTCAGAGGTAAATTTCGCATAATAAAGGTCAGCCATTTGAGCCTTCCCTATACAGACCGTCACAATAGAAATTAGTTTCCTAGCATTCTTCAGTGGGAAGCAGCAGGTTTGGAGTTCGTTGTTATGAACTTACAGGTTACAGATATTTCGAGGTCCCAGTTCATTGTGGTGCTGATTGGCTGATGCTCAGATTGGCCCATCAGTGTCCAGAAGGTGTTCAGGTTAGCTCCTGAGTAGAACTTGAATATCCTTGCCTTGTGGTATGCTGTGATCCTCTAGTCCCTTATGGCACATTTCCTGTCTCAGGCTTGGACTCAATCATTTCTCTTCCAGCCAGTTTTCTTTTTGTGGGAAATATTTCTAGATGCAAATCAGGTGGTGGGGATTCTTACTATGTTGGGTAGGTAAGTTTCCATGCTTTTTTGATGACTAGAGATGAGAGAAGATAGATGATAGATAGATAGATAGGTAGATAGATAGATATAAATAGATAGATATAAATAGATAGATAGATGATAGATAAATAGATAGATCATAGATAAATAGATAGATCATAGATAGATGATAGATGATACACACAGAGACACACACACTCACACACATACATATATAACTTGTCATAGCAAGCTGTTTTTTAAATGTGCTTGTCAAATTTGAGTGTTGCTAATATGACAGTATAGAGGTGATTAGATCTTTGAAGCTAACACCCCACCCCTATCTCAGTGAAAGAGGCTTCCTGAAGCTTTGGGTGAGTTTGTGAACCATTTAACACTATCCAAAAGAAAGCTATCCGCTATTTTAGTTTTAGACAGAGAAGACCATCATGGATTGTTAGGAAGCATTGTACAGCGATCAAGGAGGCAAGACTTCAAAACCCCAGCAGCAAGCCCAGCCCTTACTGTGTGTGCAGCCGGAAGAGCACCAGCGTCTGAGAGGGGAAGGTGATGGGAGTAAGAGCAGACAGGCCTTCGGCCGCTGACACACCAGCCAGGCGGGAGCGATACGATTCACCCGAAAAGCGGACTCAGCCACACTGGTGGAACTTTGATCCCCCAACAACAGCAGTTCTTCTCTAGCTCACATGGCCGTTTACCAGGATAGACCCATGCTGTGCCATCGACCGTAACAAAACACCCATAGGAGCTGCACAAAGAAACAGCAACAGTGCGCAGATGCACCCAAGGAAGAGCCGAAGGATGGGGAGCTATCCAACGTTCATGGATGGGAGACTACCTGTCATGAAGATGTCAAGTTTTCCAACCTAGCATATAGATGCATATAGATACATATGCAGGCCAAATCAAAACCTTAGCGAGGGCATTTGTGGGTATTGACAAAAGGATTATAAAGTTTGCATGGAAAGGCAAAAGGCTAAAAACAACTAAAACAACCCCAAAGAGGAACAAAGTTGAGGACTCATACTATATGATTTTTAAAACTTCATATAAAGCAGCAATAGTCAAGACAGTTCACCATGTTAATTACTGGAACTAAACAGTGAAGGCACAAAAAGACTTACACAAAAGAAGAAAGGCACACCAATGGAGAAGGAATATTTTATCAAAAAATGATGCTGAAGTAAATACAAATTAAAAAATAATAAAAAAATAAAATAAAAATAAGCCTGGATACAGGCCTTATACCTTTCACAAAAATTAAATCAGTTTTGACCATAGACCTAAATATGAAATTTTTTAAAAATCTACTGGAAAACTTTGAATTTAGAAAAGAGTTTTTTCACCCAACAACAGAATTATGGAAGGGTAGGCTGGAGAGATGGCTCAGAGGTTAAGAGTACTGACTGCTCTTCCAGAGGTCCTGAGTTCAATTTCCAGCAACCACATGGTGGCTCACGACCACCTGTAGTGAGATCTGGTGCCCTCTTCTTGCATGCAGTCATACATGCTGTATACACAATAAATAATAAATCTTAAAAGAATTATGGAAGGGTGAGGAAAGAGGGAGGGAGGAGGGAGGGGAGAAGAAAGGACAAGACTGGATTGGACTGGAAAGATCAGGGAGAAAAACAAGGAAATCATGCAGGAAGGGCGTGAACAGAAGCTCACACTCCAGATGCCACTACAGGAAAGACAGTAAAAGGCACTGGCAAGTCTCTCATGGTGTGTGGCACACACTTACCAACCGGGAAGTCTCTCATGGCGTGTGGCACACACTTACCAACCGGGAAGTCTCTCATGGCGTGTGGCACACACTTACCAACCGGGAAGTCTCTCATGGCGTGTGGCACACACTTACCAACCGGGAAGTCTCTCATGGCGTGTGGCACACACTTACCAACCGGGAAGTCTCTCATGGCGTGTGGCACACACTTACCAACCGGGAAGTCTCTCATGGCGTGTGGCACACACTTACCAACCGGGAAGTCTCTCATGGCGTGTGGCACACACTTACCAACCGGGAAGTCTCTCATGGCGTGTGGCACACACTTACCAACCGGGAAGTCTCTCATGGCGTGTGGCACACACTTACCAACCGGGCCATCTCCTGGCCCCTTCCTTGGGTCTTCCATCATCTATAGTGACTATAGAATCTCCTTGGCTGCTGCTTCATAAGAGCTCCCCAATAATTTCTTTTTGAAGAACAAGAGAATTAATTACATAAAAATCAAACTACTAAAAAACTTGAATGCGTTAAATCGGTGAAGTCAAAACTAAAAGTCTCCCAAATCGTCAGAAAATGTGTGCGTATAACGGGGTCTGGAAACCACAAACCACATGGTAGAAAGATTTTTAGAAAGACTAAAATACGAATTATGTGTTTAGAATCCCTTTGGGAGACAAATTTCTGGGCCTCTCTGTAAAGATGTTTTCAGGAAAGTTGAAGGCGAGAAGCACCCCCTGCCCTTGAGTGTGGGCTGCTCCCTCCGTGGCTGGGGCCCCAGATGTCCTAGACAGGAGGAAGTGAGCTGAGCCAGCGTTCATCTCTCTGCGTGCTTGCTGCTGGGGCTGTCACCAGCTGCCCTGCCCTCCTGCATCATGCCTTCTCCACCGTGAGGAGCTGAACCCTCAAACCAGAGCCAAAACAAACCTTCCTTTAGTTGCTTTTTTAAAAGGCTTCATTTTATTATTTTCTTACATGTATGAGTGTTTTGCTTGCATGTATGTCTGTGTACATGCATTCATGGTGCCCTCAGAGGCCAGAAGAGGGTGTGGGGTCTCCTGTTACCAGAGTTACAGCCACCATGTGGGTGCTGGGAATTGAACCCTGGTCCTCTGAAAGAGCAGCCAGTGCTCTTAACCACTGAGCCATCTCTCCAGGCCACCTTAAGCTGCTCTGTCAGGTGCTTTGACACCACAGAGAGAAATAACTAACGACGTCTGTAACACAAAGCATAGAAAAACTGGCATCAAGTGCGTCTGTTGCTCTCTGCAAATCAAATGGATAAACTCCTTAAGGAGAAGACGCTCCAGCTGAATCAGAGGCTCAGTCCTTTGCAATCCTGAGCTAAACCCAAACGTGGCGGCCTGGAAAATTAGAGATGGAGTTACAGGGCAACCTTCTGGGGAATATAAACAGACAGAAAGAAAAAGGTACTTAAAGAAGTTAAAGGTGAAAGCATTATGCTGGGGAAATAAGGCAATTTATAGTACAAACTGAAACTAAGACCTGATTTTACATTTATTCATATAACAAAGGCAGTAATATTCAAATTCTTAAGTTTGTGTGTGTGTGTGTGTATGTGTGTGTGTGTGTATGTGTGTGTGTGTGTATGTGTGTGTGTGTGTGTGTGTGTGTGTGTGTGTGTGTGTGTGTAGCTAAGAGGTTGAATTAGCTGTAGAAGACATCATCTTTCTATACAGTTTTGGTTTATGAAACAACAGAGAAAGTGATAAATACCTCATTGAAATACTTGAGGCAAAAGCAAGGCCGTGCACCCCCAGAGTGAAGTCCATTGGTATCGTCTTCCTGCAGCCCCACAGCGTGCTCAAGTCACAGCACAAACCAGGATGGGAAGGCCCCCAAATCAACGACACAAATCAGCACCCACCACCATCGTTCAACTGGAGGAAATACAAAACAAACTCTGGAATATTCAGAAAATTACAGTAAAGAAAATGTTTAAGACATGAGAGATAACTTGAAGTGGCATAGAGAAAAATACAAAGCCTAAAACATTAATATTCATAGATACTATAATTAATGAAGATAAGTCATAATCTTGCTGAAGGAATTAGAGGGACAAGAGAGCGGCAGACAACGGAAGCAGAAGGAAAAGCGAAAGCCCGAATTTCCGTTTAGAGTGTTGAAGACCTCGTGAAGCAAGAGCCTAATCAGGAAAAATGGAGACAACACAAGATAATAAGCAGGGAAACCAAAATTTCTGAGTAAATTAAAATAGTTATGAGTTTTAACTGTTTGGTCTTAAAAACGAAAAAGATGATTTTCAAAGAAAATATGAATGCTTACTATTCATCTTAGAGAGGGGGGCCTTCTGAATAGGGTAATTTACAAAAGAAATCCCTTTAAAGATGTAGCAAGTTGTTGTCTATGAAAAATAGTCCAGCAGGGTCCCAGTAACTTTAGATACAAATATGTGTTTTTTCTGGACTATTAAAAATTGCACTTCTGGAAGGTCATGCCTTGAGGTCCCGCTTTTTTCCATTCAGGCAGCAATAGTGAACCAACACACAGACAGAAAATAGATGAGCACAGCTAGGCTCAAAGATGAATTGAGCACCCCACCTCAGAGAGCTGGTGGCCAGGACAGGATGAATCCAAGTGAGGACAGACAAGCTGGGTGTGTGGCTGGCCACGTCCAGGGAGCCTGTCTTCTGTCGGATTAATAGGGTCTAAAGATCCTGAGCAATTGGAAAGGCTGCAGAGGGCTCCTGACCACAGGGAGAGGCTGAACCGATCACCCAGTGCTGCCCAGAGCAAGGCTCAGTGAAACTGCGGTCCCAGGCAGGAGAAAACAGCAGGGTTATGACCAGGAACTACACCGTATTGTCCACATGGTTCACCTGCAGAGGCCAGAGGCCAGCTTTCTGGAGTCAGTTCTCTCCTTCCACCTTATGGGTCCCAGCGATGGAACTCAAGTCGTCGGCCTTGGCCATAAGTGCCTTTGCTCACTGAGCCTTCTCTCCAGACCCATGATTATTTTAACTGACAACGACCCCTCCCCCACCCAACTCAGCTTCCTAAGACACCGACTGCTAAAGTGGATCCACAACCTTTTTACATCATAGTTATGTGAGTGGTTATCTAACAATTATCAATAATGGGAAGATAAAGTGGTATAGTGTGTGTGTGTGTGTGTGTGTGTGTGTGTGTGTGTGTGTGTGTGTGTGTGTTTTAAGAAATGGTTCCTATAGGGAAGGAAAATGTAGGATATTTGGGACAGGGATTAAAATATTAAATCTTTCTTAGTAGACATTGTTTTACAGATTTGGTTTTGGAAACATGTAAATGTGTTACCTGCTTTAAAAAAAAAATGAAAAGAAAAAGCTGCATGAAATAAGAGAATCAACTTGCTATTTCAATCTTTGAGTGGAGGAAAAGTCGCTCCTATACTAACAACCAGAGAAATCTGACAAACGGAAAAGCAATGAGTGTTTGGACCACTTGGAGGCTGATACCACAGGGCCAAGCACCCTCCAAAAGATGGAGGAGCAGGATGCTCCAGAGAGGCCTGGAGCCAATAGCTCTGCCCCAGGACAGATGGTGCAGAAGCCCTGTGAACTGCCAGGAAGACATGAATGGTGGTTTCCATGAATTACTGGGGTTCAGCATGAACAGCAGGAACCCCTGCAGGAGGAAGAAGCTCCCGGGCTCCCAGTCTTCAGCACTGCCCTGCCGGTAACCCCACCAGGTTCTCACGGTTAAGATCTGAGAACGACCCCTTTATGGCTGTAGCAGAGAAGACTCATCGTTGTAAAATATGTCCAGAGCTGTTTCCATAACAAAAGCCTACACTCCAGGATGGGGACTTCTCCCGGGGCTTGCCCCAGAGCCCTGGGGAGGGAATGGCTCCTGTTCCAGCCCATGCCTAGTCTCTGCGTCTCACTCAAGGGGGAAAAGAAGTCACAAAGAACACACATTTGTGCGAAGTCACAGACACTGGCACACGAGAAGACTGAACTGGAATATGATGGAAAGCTCCCTTCCTCTCGCCTCCCCACCTCACCAGCAGCTTGTGATTAGTCTTCAGCAAGCATTAACCAGAGTTTTACTTCTATCCCAGCTAATATAAATCTTCACAATAAAGACTGAGTTTCAGTTGCCAATAACAACAAAAAAATTACCGGGGGGAGGAGGGGGAGGGGATTGCTGGAAGGTGGCTTGGTGGGTAAAGCTGGGAGGAACTGAGTTCAGATCCCCAGAACCTCTATAGAGTTGAATACATTTCTGGAATCCCAGTGATCTTGCAGTGAGAATGGGGGGTGGAGACAGGACCCCCAAAGGCTTCTGAGACGGCAAGCCTGGGGCACACAGATCCTGTCATGGAAGACAATCAAAGTGGCAGGAAAGGTCTGACATCCAAGGTTGTCCCATGACCTCCATAGCACACCTTTCCTGTGTGATCCTATCTCAAAGCAATGATACAGTGCCTAGAAACTATTCCTACAGAACTCTACCCGAGACAAGCAGCCAGGATGATGGAACTTGATGTGAGCATCTTACAGCTCATGAGAAAAAAAAAAAAATCAGTTTTGGTGATGATCACCAGCTAATATTAAAACCAATAAGAAAACAGCTGCTAAGAGCAACTGATGCAGCCGGCGGTACCTGAGCCCTACAGTCTCCTTAGTAACAGACACATCTGTGTCTGCGAACCCCAATGTGCAGGTACAGAAAGTGCACACCACCTCCCACACGCTGTTCCTGTCAAAGCAGTAAACCTGAATCCGATCTTTTAGACTGAACTGCCAACTCATAGACCCTGAGACCCGCAGAAGAGAAGGTTTCTATAGGGCAAGGGGGTGGGCTCCCAGAGATGGGGGGCGGGCTCCCAGAGATGGGGGGTGGGCTCCCAGAGATGGGGTGGACTCCCAGAGATGGGGTGGACTCCCAGAGATGGGGTGGACTCCCAGAGATGGGGTGGACTCCCAGAGATGGGGTGGACTCCCAGAGATGGGGTGGGCTCCCAGAGATGGGGAGTGGGCTCCCAGAGATGGGGAGTGGGCTCCCAGAGATGGGGAGTGGGCTCACAGAGATGGGGAGTGGGCTCACAGAGATGGGGTGGACTCCCAGAGATGGGGAGTGGGCTCACAGAGATGGGGTGGGCTCACAGAGATGGGGTGGGCTCCCAGAGATGGGGTGGACTCCCAGAGATGGAGTGGACTCCCAGAGATGGGGTGGACTCCCAGAGATGGGGAGGGCTCACAGAGATGGGGAGGGCTCCCAGAGATGGGTTGGGCTCCCAGAGGTGAGGGGGAGGGCTCACAGAGATGGGGAGGGCTCCCAGAGATGGGGTGGGCTCCCAGAGATGGGGTGGACTCACAGAGGTGGGGAGTGGGCTCCCAGAGATGGGGAGGGCTCACAGAGGTGAGGGGGCGGGCTCCCAGAGCTGTCTGGCTTTGGAGAGAGAGGGGCAGGGGACTGAGGGAGAAAAAGAACTCCCCAGATTAAAAAAGACTGAAGCCAGGGTAACCAGAGAGATGTTTTGTGTGGTTCTGCTTTGGATCTTCATTCAGACCAACCAAGTTTAACAAACGATTAGGAAATGAGGCGGATTTGGATGGCGGATGTTTGATGATGGCTGTCGGGCTCGTGTTTCCAGAGCTTGGTCTCCAGCTTTATGCTGCTGTTTTAGATTTCTGTTTGTTTCATTACAGAGTCTCGTGTAGCTCAGGCTGTGTAACCAAGGATGACCTCAGCTCCTTGTCCTCCTGCCTGTCTCCCAAGTGCTGGAGTTGCAGGTGTGACCAGGAACTCAAGGCAGGAGCTTGAAGCAGCCCCAAGAGAAGAGAAATGCTTACCTCAACCAGCGCCTTCCTTCCACACCCCTGGAGCACCTCCCTAAGGGCTGGGCCTCGTACGGTGGGCTGGGCCCTCCAGCATCAGTTAACCCAAGAAAACACCCCACGGTCATGCCCACAAGTCCCTCTTCCCAGGTGTGTCAAGTTGACAACCAAGATTATCTGCCACACTCCCTAGAGACTCCAGTTAGTAAGCCGGACCACAATTTATCCTGCTCGTAAAGTTCAAAGCACAGGACTGCTACATGATCCTCTTACCCGACTCACAACCCATCTGCAAGCAAGCCCTGCTTGCGATAATCCAGTCATCCCTCCCAACTCTGCTCCTTTATCCCCATCCCACCATCCCTACCATGTTTTGAGTCACCATACAATTTGCCTGGACCCAACTGAGGAGTTCTACCCTACGGTGCCCTTAACCTAACCCAGGATGACCTAGGGATGCCATAGAAGAAACTACCCGAAGCCACAGGGGCTCCTTGCTTTCTTCAGCAATCTGGGGTGTCTGGCATTGCTACTTCAGGCTACAGGCTGCTTGCCCTTGGTCTCAGGCTGGGTGCTGCGTTCCAGTCCACTCTTAAGGGCTCTTTGATTGCCTTGGACCAGCAGCCATGGGAACTTACTGTCCTTGAGGTGGGGCAAAAGCTCTCATTTCCCACCTTCTCACATGGTCAGAGTATGTCACAAGCCAGGGTCAGGGAACAAGGAGGGGGAGGGAGAGAATACTTACCGGAGAAAGGCTATTTAATATGGGGTGTGCAAAGGAGCCGTAACACAGAGGGCAAGGTCTCAGAGGAGGGGCGTAGTCAGGGAGGCTGGGCCCTCCACAGCCAGAGGTTTAGGGATCCGTAGGAAAGGAGGTCCGAGGAAGGAGACGGTTCGTCGGTGACGTGGGAGAAAATGAAGAGCAGAGTGCCTCAGAACCATGAGGGCAAATGGTCAGCAGAGATGAGTTGGGGAAGGGAGAGAGGAAATCGGGAACTGCGCTTGACAGCGCAGCCATGATTGGGCATCTTGTCTCTTAGGGACAGAAGACTGGTGAGGCCGAGGCTGCGGAGGAATGGGCTCTGAGGTAAGTAGGCTGTGTGCTCACAAACAACTCTTTGCAGAGCTACCTCTGGGGTGGTGTCTCAGGGTTTCTATAACTGTGATAAAAACACCGCATTGAAAGTAACTTTGGGAGGGAAGGTGTGCTTCATCTCACACTTCCACATCCCAGCCCATCATGAAGGAAGCCAGGGCAACTCAAGGCAGGAGCCTGCAGGCAGGAGCTGAGGCAAGAGGCCATGGAGGGGGGCTGCTTCCTGGCTTGCTCTTCATGGCTTGCTCAGCCTGCTTTCTTATAGAACCCAGGGCCACCAGCCCAGGGATGGCACCACCCACCATGGGCCGGACCCTCCCCCATCAATCACTAATTCAGAAAATGTCCCACAGGCTTGCCTGTAGTCTCTCTTACGTATGCATTTTCTCAATTGTGTTTCCTCTTCTGAAACTCTAACTTGTGTCAGAGGTTGACAAAAACAAACAAACAAACAAACAAAAAACTACCAACCAACCAGGAGCCAGCTAGGAGATAGAGATGTGGTTTAGTAGGTAGAAGTTAGTACGAGAACAAAGGAAGTATTTAATTCTATTTCAAATCATTTTTATCTTTATTTGTGTGTGAGAGGGGGTCGACATGGTTGCACCCATGTCCCAGCACAGGTGTGGTGACCAGAAGACCACTTACAGGAGTCAGCTCTTCCACCACACTGGTTCTGAGGATCAGGCTCCAGTCGTCAGGCATGCTGGCAAGTCCTCTCCCCCAGAAGCCATCTCACCAGCCTGGAGATTTTTAAAATAGGGAGCTATTTAGTGAGTGCTGGAATGTTCATGGAAGATTCCAGAAGAGAGAAAGGGATGGATCAGGAGAGAAAAGATATATTTTCAATATGTTCCTGAGAGGAACTAGATATTGCTTATCCAATATCTACTTCTGCTGTGTGTGTGTGTGTGTGTGTGTGTGTGTGTGTGTGTGTGTGTGTGTGTGTGTGTGTGTGTTGAGACAGGGTTTCTCTCAATACTCCTTGCTGTCCTGGAACTCGTTCTGTGCATCAGGCTGGCCTCGAACTCAGAGATCTGCCTGCCTCTGCCTCCCACCACCCAGTGTGTTTCTTTCTTACCAACAGAACTCTAGTTTGTCTGACGGGTCTACGTGACTGGCTGAATTAAACACCGCCCTAGGAGGATGCCTCTCAGATGAAAACGACCAAGACGTGCAGTGTTCCAGAAAGAGAAACAAGCTGAACACTGCTGACACAGGTCTCTTTCCTGCTTCTTTTCTTCTCCTCCGGTCTGGAATATGAATGCGACGTCTTATTTTAAAATATTTATTATTTATTTACGTGTAATGCTGGGGGTTGAACCTAGGCTCTAGAGCAGTGCTGCTCAGCCTTCCTAATGCTGCAACCCTTTAATACAGTTCCCCATGTAGTGGTGACCCACAGCCATAAAAGTATTTTCTTTGCTACTTCATAACTGTAATTTTGCTCCTGTTAGGAATTGTAATGTAAACATCTGTGTTTTCCGATGGCCGTAGGTAGTCCCTGTGAAAGGGTCATTGATGGACAACTGCTGGTCTAGAATGTGCTCCAAGCTACCTGGAAGCTACAGCTCCAATCCTCCTTTTACTTTTTTGCTTTGAGACAGATTCAGTTGCCTGGGTGACATTAGCCCAGTAGCTGGGATGACCTGCTTCAAAGTCACTTTCTATCAGCACTGAGGAAGGGCAGGCTCCTGACCTCAGAACCCTGGGGACTGGGATGAGGAGGCAAAAGATTCATCTGGAGAGAGCCATGGGGCAGGTAGCACCCTTGGGGCACAGCCAGGTCCCAGGTATGAAGGAGATGGGAGAGATTTAGAGAGAGGCACTGTGGGTGTAGAGAGTCCGCTGGGGACAGACTGAGTTCCAGAACCCCAAGGAGGGAGGGACCTAAAAGGATGAGGTCAACTTCACAGACAGTGTGGGAGGAAGTTCATGTGTGAGGAAGCCAGGGTACCTGGAAAGGCCTGACTTCTGGTGGTTCTAGGGTGCATGCCATCCATCTTTTGTGGGGTTCTCTATAAAGGACTGGTCTCAGCTGGAATGTATGCAGAGAATGACCAATTCCCTGGGCTTACTTTCTTAGGCACTTCATAGTGGAGAGGTCATCTCAGAGGACATTTCACAGGACATCTGTGGGCTTTCATGTTGGCTTGTTCTTTCCTGAGGCTAGCTACCTGGATTTAGGGGTGACGTCACCCTTCCTTCCTTCCTTCCTCCCCCTCTTCTCCTCCTCCCTTCCTCCCTCCCTCCCTCCCTCCCTCCCTCCCTCCCTCCCTTCTTTCTTTCTTTCTTTTTTGTTTTTTGGGACAGGGTTTCTCTGTGTAGCCTTGGCTGTCCTGAAACTTGCATTGTAGACCAGGATGACCTCGAACTCACAGAGATCCGCCTGCCTCTGCCTCCCAAGTGCTAGGATTAAAGGCGTGCGCCACCACCGCCCACAGTCCAGAAACTCCACTGTCTTTTGCTGTGTAATCTCAGGCAAGTTCCTTACCCTCTTTGTGGCTCCCAGGATGATTCTGATAATTGAGTATAATTCATTTAAACACTTAGAACAGTGGCTCATTTATAATGATGCTCAATAAACATCAGCCATCATTAATATGATTCTTATTCTCTTAAACATAGACCAACTGTTATTTCTGTCTTCTGCTTTCTGATGATAAGACTGTATCTCAAAGGTTATAACAACAAATGTTTATTTCTGGCTCATAGGTCTGTAGATTCTCCAGGGGATCATGGAACTCTTCAGGCTTCTGGGTGGGTTCCAGCTTGGGGCTGCTTACAAGGCAAGTCAGAAGTCCAAGAATCCAACACCAGATAGAGCGCTTGAGTGCAGGTGTGGAAGGCCTCTGGCTGGCCGGGGCCTGGCCTGTACAAGTCCCCTTCTTTTGACGGAGGTAAGCCAGTCACCATACCCTGAGTCAGTGAGCAGGAAGCCAGGGTGTAGGAGTGGAGGGAACTTAGAAACTTTGTGAATCATGTCCCCCATGACATTGTGCCTATAAAGACAAGGACAGGGTAGGGTTGGTAAGTGCAGGGCGGTGGGGACCAAAGCATAGGAGCAGAACCCCAACACATCTTTACTCCTGTGCCACACAATAAGCCTTGCCAGAGGCTCTAGTAGCCAACTCCGTGTCTTCCTGGGTCTGCCCGCCTGCCCATGGGCTACTAGCAAGCTTTATGGGTACTTCAGGCCACCTCACCCTTGCTGCCCGCTCCTGCCATCTCCCACCCTCGCTGGCCCGTCTCCGTGAGTGGGGTGGGCAGCTCCTGGTGAATGCAATGCTCCCCTGCTTCTCTCTGGCCACAGTTAATCAGCATCAAAGCCGACAGTGCTTGTTCCTCCTCAGAGTCGCCTGAACCCGCCCCAACTGCCGTGTGCCAGCGTCAGCCAGCACCAGCTTTTAGCCATGGCACCACCCGCTCCGGCAGCCAGCTCCTCTCTGTCCCCCGCCACGGTGTGGTCACTGTGATCTTCCCAAAATGCAGTTCTAGTCCTGGATGCTCAACAGTGCAAGCTCCGTGTCTTTACACAGCCACCAGTGAAAGGACCCTCCTTCACCCCTCCCCGGTTCCAAGCTCCAGGCCCTAGCACAGCAGCCGGGCGCTCCTATTGGCCCTTGTCTCTGTCTTTCAACTCAAGCCTCAAGCCTGGTTAACTCATCCTTATCGTATATCCCCACCCCGCCCCGCCCACCTCAGCATCTGCACCCCCACCACTGCGCTCCTCCGCTGTGTTCTAGAGCATAGGGATGTGTGTTATCATGGCCATTGGGATTGCCCCGGCTGGGTGCACTGGCCCCCAGCTGTCCTCCCTAGAGAGGGGACAACAGTGTGTGCTCCTTGCAAAGTGGCATTAAATGAGATAGCGACACGGAGCTCTGTGGGAGGGGTAGCTGTCAGTTTTCAACTAAACCTTTGTGTTGAAGGGTGACAAAGTTTCAGGAAACTGCACATGCTGTCACAGCTGTGTGCTCTCTATGGAGTGAATTCCACAAACACACCGTTATGGTCAGCCCCTAGGTAGCATTGTTTTGAAACTTTTATCTGACTCGCAGTGAAAGATAGCAGTTTTGTGTGTGTGTGTGTGTGTGTGTGTGTGTGTGTGTGTGTGTGTGTGACACAGGCTTTGACATCTGCCCACTCCACCATGTAAAAGGCATGCTACACAACCTAATGGGTGCCATGCTGTCTCCCTCTCCTCACCCCTCTCAGTCCAAGCAGGGCAGGCCAGGGATGAGGAGGGCCACCTGAGTTGTGCCTGTCCAGCACCAGCGCGACCCAGCCCAGCCTGGACCTCCCAGCCCTTCTCCATCACCCCTGCCTTATGAGGACAGCCCATCCTAGCCCACCCCTTCTACTTGGCGTAATGAGTGTAATCTAGCTAGCAACAGCTGTGTACCAATCTCACCCACTCACAGATCATCTCTGCCCCACAGTTTTGGTGGTCAAGGACTCCCCAGAATACCCCAAGCACTCCCGATGGTGCAGCTCTCCTCCCTGGAGACAGGATCCTCACTGTCACTGATGCACGCGGTGCAGCTCCGCCTTGAATGTACACCCCAGCATTTTGTCCACCGGCCAGTGAGGCTTCCAGACATAGACCTGGTCATTCGATCTCTGACTTCGACCCCACGAGGGTATGAGCGGATTGTACTCAGCCCCTTCGGCTGCCAAAGCTTTTCATTCTCCACTACAGAGGGAAAGGGTGTGCTAGGGGTGGTGTTGGTGTTGGTGGAGGGCTTCTGGGCACGACATGGCGGTGTGTGAGGCTGTGATCAAATTCTCTAGACATGACCCGGGTTAGAACCCAGCAGCGGCCTGAGCAAGAAGGAGCGATTACCCACGGAGGTCAGTCAGGGCCCGGGGAAAGCAACGAGAAGAAACGTCGTTATCCCATTTCACAGACAGGAAGCTGAGGCCACGAAAGACGAGGGAATTTTCTGAGTCGAGATTTGAACCCAGAGCAACCTTCAGCTTGGCACTCGGGGCTGCCCCTTCCCGGCACCCCGCGACCCTAACGCGGCACGTGCTGGTCCCTTGCCCCCTCCCACCATTGTCCCACTCGGCGCTGCTCGGGGGCTTCCCGGAGGCCCGCGGTGGGCAGGCCCGGGGTCGCGGGCGAGAAGCGCACCCGGCGCGGCGGGAGGGACCCGGGCGATCCGCCCCTGCGCCGCCGGCGCTGCCTCTGTCCATGGTCAAAGCAGCGGGGTAATCCGCCTTTCTCTTCCGCCCGCCGAGCCCATTCATATTCTAATCACAGCGCGGCCGGCCCGCGAGCGGCCACTTTCCCGGGGCGGCGGGAGCCCCCCCCCCACTTGCCGTCCGCCAGCCCCGACCCCCTCCTCCCGCACTTTCATCTGCACCGGGGAGGGGTCCCTGGGAAAGCCGCGTCCCCAACTCGGACGCCGGGGCTTCTCACCAACTCCGCTGCGGGCTGTGGGGGACCGAGAGGGTGGCGGAGGGGGGAGCGGGGACATGGGAAGAGGGAGGGACCCGGACGCAGACAGACTGACATACAGGGTTATGGGAAGAGGCGAGGGGGGTGGGGTGGGGGTCCCAGAGATCCAGAGGGACGTAGTCCTAGGGAGAGACAAAAAGACACGCAGCCAAAGGAGAAACGGAGACCGAGACAGCGAGGCACGGAGACCTGGAGACACCCGTAGGGCGAGAGACAAGGGGTACAAAAGTTCCGGAGAAGGCGAGCCAGCCCCTCACCCCTTGCTGCCAAGCGCCCTTCTTGTCTCTCAGACTGGAGATGGGAACCTAAGGCTTCAGTTTCCCCTTCCACACCCTCTACTCCCACGCATGTCCGCGGATCTGCGTGGAAGAAACTCAAGACGTACTCCCTTTGCATTGCTCCAGGGCCCCAACTCAAAATCTAACTCAAGACGGAAACGGGACCTGTCTCCAGGGGAGAGAAAACAGGAGTTGGGCCCACTCGTGGCCGCACAGAGACTCCTAGGGCTCGGGCACCTTCTGCAACCCCCTCCATGGCTGCACCGCGCGGGGCCCGGGCGCGGGAGGGCTGGAGAGGGGGGCAGATCTAAGCCAATTTTGATTTCGCCTATAATGAGTGCCGGGCTGAGGCTGGAGAAGGCCTCTGGAACTTTAAATAAGAAAAACGTTGCTAATGCTATAATAGAAGGGGGAAGTCGGAGGGCTGGGATTGCGTCGCTCTGAGCCCCCCTTTTCGGAGGCGGCTTTTCTTATTCAAAACAGGCCCACAATGGGCTTCACAGTGCGCCTCGCCACGGCCCCATCTGACGAGCGGCCATTCATCAGGCCCGCTGGCCTATCAATGACATTGCTCCCATCGGGGCTCCTATAAAATGATGTTTTTTCCCATGAAACATCCGCAAACATTTTGACGGGTTTAGCTTTGCCCGACTGGATTACTGAGTGTCCCCTCGCTCGCTTACTCGCTCGCTCTCTCCCTCTGCTCCAGCTCGCTTCCTTCCCTCGCTTCTTTGCCTCCTTCTCTTTTCTTTTTCTGGTTCTTTCTTTCCCCCCTTTATCCTTTTGCCCTCTCACCCCTCGCCTCCCTCTCTCTCTTGCTACCCATTTCTTCTGCCCTCCTTCCCTCCCTTCCTCCCTGGGCATCTCTAGCACAGGGGGATCCCCAAATATCAGGACTTTTGGGGGGCGTCTGTGCTGTCCATGGGAAGAGCATGCATTGTGGGTTACTGGAGGAACCCGACATGGATTCCACAGGTTAGTCCTGGTGGGACTTGGGGGGAGAGATTGGGAGGAAAGGAGCAGGGACCGGGGGACTTCAGAAAGAGCTGCAGAAAGTTCATGCGGGTCAACTTGACAGTGAGATCCCAGGAGAGAAGGCGTGCAGAAGTTTTCGGTCCAGCGCTAAGTGTGTAAGTGAATGCACGGAAGTGTGTGTGGGGGTGTAAATGCGTGTGTGCGCGTGCGCGCACGATGCGGAGCGCGCTTTCACTTGGACATAAAGTTGCATAAAGATGCTCTCTGGCTCGCGGCGAGCTCGAGGTGCTGCTACTTGCGGGAACTTTGCGAGCCAGCCTCCCCCTCGGGCCCCGCAGCTGCCCTAGCTTTGGGCAGGGTAGTGGTGTGCTCAGGGTCTGGGGTGAGGCCCGGGAACGCTCCAAAGGCGGGGGAGGGCGACCACGTCTCACCGCGCGCGGGAGGTGGAGGCTCTTGCTGCAGGAGCCGCGCAGCTGGAGGGAGTGGCGGCGGCGAACCCGGTGGTCCTGGGGCATTCGTAGCTTTGGGCTGTGAGAGCTGGGAGCCCAGAACTGTAGCCTCCCGGGCGCGAAGAGGCAACCCACTAGCGGTTGTCTCCACACGGAGGCTGTAACCTAGTTGGGGGGAAAGCCGAATACAAAGCATCGGGAGAGGCCTGAGTTCTGGCATTGAGTTCTGCGAACTGTGCTTCAGTTAGAGGGTTGTGTGGTGGACATCAGGCACTAGGGTCGCCATGGTTCACAGCAGAAGGGAAGACACGGGATCTCTTACAACGAAAACACCCAGCATCTCCGTGCATTCTCCAGTCGACCCGTCAGCGTCTATGCCTAGTGTCTTTGGGGACCCGCCACACTTCTAAATCTCAATTACTTTTCCTATGTCCGTTCCTTGTAGAAGTTCTCAAAAAGTTTACCCCCCTCCCCTAGGCCCAGTCTCTTCACCAAGCCACTCCAATCCCTGCTGGGCCGCAGCTTTGGAGTTTCTTGGGGGTGATAAGAGGCAGCCTGGACAGAGGCGGCAGTTTGACCGAAACCTGGGAGAATGTGAGGGCAACGCAACCGAGCAACAAGTGCCTGCTGGCCTCAGCGGTGCCCTGACACACATAACTTAATTGCAAATAAACACCACAGACGGCTCTGCCCACTCCACCACCCCTAAGCAGGTCGCAAAAAGATGTGTGATGGGCTAAGCGATCTAGATAGCTTCCCAAAGATCGTTCTTCGGTTCTGGGAGGAAGGTTCCAGGCCTCTCCTCGCCTACGTTGCAGACCTGGTGGCCGAGACCGAGGACCCAGGGGTATCAGCGGCATTCCAGGATACTTTTCTGTCTCTGAGCCAGTCCGGTCCTCGCGTTCCCCGGGGTGGCTGTGAGCCCCCAGAGAGTGGTTAAAGCCTAGCCTCCGAAGTCGTGCTAATCTGCAACACACGGAGGCAAGAAGCGATCTTGCCTGGGGAGTGCACCCGGCTACGCAGACCCTCAGGCCCTGTTGGGATCTTCTCCACACCCCAGTAATGCTGGATCTGGAGGGAGAGGGAAGAGCAAAGCTTTGCTTCAATATATATATATATATATATATATTTTAATTCAAGGAAAGCCTCCTAAGAGCTACAACATTAAAAGTGAACGTATTTAACCAGATTACACCCATTTACACAGAATTAGTGGCTGGGGATTTTCAAGGGGTCCATACAAGATCTCGGGGCCTTCCTCATACCTTACATCAGGAATGTCCCAGCTGGACTCTTGGTGCGGAGTGCTGTAGAACTGTGGAGACGTTCTATTTTTAATCACAGATTATTAGGTGGTTGTGGGACACTGGCCACCTTCACCCCAACTTCAAACACCCCAAATGGGTAATGAAACCCCAGTGCCTCCCCCTTCCCGCTCCCCTCTCATACTTAAGATCACACTCCCGAACTCAAAATCAAAAGTTTTAGTTAATGGCCGCAATTGAGAAGTCATTCCGGGCGCCCCAGGTGACATTTCACATGCAAACTCCGGACAAGCGAAGTGCGGCGCGGCGAGGTCCCATCCAGGAGCCTTCCTTCACCTCCCTTCCAGAGAATTAATCCAATTAGTCTTTCTTCTGAGTTTCTCTTGTTATGTAAAAGGTTCATTCCCCTCCCTGGGCGTGCAGAGCCCCGCGCTCCACTGGGCAGTTCGATTCTGTTCCTGAGGGTAAGGTTGCGCTCAGCTAGAAACACGAAATCAGTTATTTCATTCTTAACGGGCTCAAACAGCAGGCTCACAGCAGTTACTGGAGCGAAGTCCAGAGCATCCATGTTCAGAGGGGGCCAGCAAGCCGAAGCTAC